TTTTTTTTTTTTTTTTTTTTTTTTTTTTTTTTTTTTTTCCTGAGCTCCTTTTCCCTTAAAAAAGAATAAAGTGCAGGAGGGGAAAAAAAAAATCCGGCACCGGGAAATGAGCGGAGCAGCCGCACCGCCCGCTGCCACAAAGGCTCCGCTCCGCTCCTTCCCGCACTGCTGCCACAAAAGCTGCGCCGCCCCGCGCCGCCCTCCCGCATCGGGGCCGCGACCGTCTGAAAACCGCTTTTTTTTCTTAGAAACTACCTCCAAATATAGTAACGGGGAAGGGGCATTCCTAGAAATTCGGGAGACGTCAGGAAGGGCAGATTTGTGACATTCAGCTTCGCTTCCTGCAGAGGGCTCCCAGCGCAGGAGAAAAAAAATCAAGTGAGCGATAAAGCGCTTTTCGTGCTTCTTTGATCGGATAATGGTTCAGAAAGGAAGAACGGTAAAACACGTAACTCGCCTTTCTCCGATCAGATCTAGGAGCTTTATAGGGGCAGCGAGCTAATCAGTAACCCCCGTCCTCATTTCTACCCGCGTTCACGGACGTCTGTCCCCGTGCTGAGTTTCCCGTGTCCGCCCCGCGCACACAGCGCACGAAGCACGGCGGACGGGGGCGGACGGGCACGGCAGCTCCGCGGAGCGCCGCTCTCCCAGCCGGCCGGTCCCGCCCGCCCAGCCGCGCCGCCGCCAATCCTTCCTGCCGTGGCCGCGCGCACGAGTCGCTCACGGGCCGTCCCGTGTCGAGGTGCTTTTGCCGAGGGGCGATCAGCGGCCCCGCTCCGCTCCCGGCCGGGCTCCGCAGCAGTGCTTTACTCCCATCGGGGCGGCCAGCACAAAGCTGCGCCAACTCTTCATAGGAAGCAGAAGCGTAATTAATGCTCGCAATGCGCAAACGTGCCACTGCACGCTACTAATTCTGTAAAGATCTCAGTGCTTTCCTAACAAAGCGTTATTCAGCAAAGAATGGCAAACGTTGCTACAGAAAACGCAGTAGCTGGCTTTTGTGGAGAGTAATGGATTTCAATTCGTGTGACTCCCACAGGCTGACCTCCCGTAATTAAATTCCCCTCAGCCACGTGAACTCCTCGTCGTTCCTCCGTGTCACTGTGACGGGCAAAGCGCCCTCCGCCCCCGTTCCGAATGCAACAAGAACAACGGGCTCCGGCTTTGTTTCATGTTTGATAAACTCGTTTAATCAAACCCGTTACGGACACGTGCGGTTCCGTGGGGAATCGGCACAGCCCGAGCGCTGCCGGGGCGGCTCCTCCGCTCGGATTCTCCGGTTTCGCCTTGAGAACCCCGAGGCCGCCCCGCGCTTCGTGTCCTCGGCTGGAGACGTTCGAGCCGGCAGACGGCAGCGCGGAGCGGCCCGGGCTGCGATCCCGCTCGCCGCGCGTGCTGAAACCGCCCCACATTCCCGCTTCCCGTTCTCCGTCCTCCTTCCCCAGGGTAGAGCGGAGCGCCGCGGAGCATCCTTGTGTTCTCGTGGGAACCGGCGGTGCAACGGACGGGAGTCGTTCGTACGGTCCGGTCGTTTTCCTGGCAGTAGATCTGCTCAAAGAAAAAAAAGCCAAAGGCAAAATGAACGGTTACTGCCCTTCGGCAAGTCCGAACGCAGCTCGGGTACCGACGGCATCCTCAGCGCGGGGCTGACACCAAACCCCGCAGCGCAGCCCGTTTCCCCGCACGGCCGCGCAGCCGCGACTCCGGCGCTGCGAGGACGAAGGCGCGCGTGAGCCGCGCCGCCCTTACCGCCGCTCGGGGAGCGCCCCGACCCCCCGCAGCGCCCCGGGCTCAGCCGGTCCGACCACCCGCAGCGCTCCTGACGGGTTCGTCCCGTCTCGGCGGTTCCGCCGTCCCCTAAAAAGGACCACCGCACAAATCCCTTTCTGCGCGGACCCGCCGAGGCACGGACGGGGTTCGAACCCGTGATCTTCGGTTTACGAGACCGACGCCTTACCACTTGGCCACCGCGCCCGCATTAACGGCGCCCCCGACGCCTTTCTATCGCTGGCGCCGCTCCCGCTGCTCCGCGGCCCTGGCCGTGCGCGCGCGTCAGCACCTGCGGCCGTGGGGCGCGCGCGCGGCCGTTGCTCCCTCAGGCGGCGCCGTCCAGCCGCGCGCGTGCCGCCTATGCGCGGCCTGGCGTTCCTCCGCCGAGAGGCCGCCCTCGTGTGCTTAGAGCCGTGACTGCAGCGGTCTTCCCTGGGACAGAGGAGCAGCTCAGGGAGGAGGAAGAGAAAGCGGGAAAGAGAAAACGCGCGTCCTTTCAGAAACGGAGCGGGAGTGCAAACATTGCGGTAATTACACGTTAAATGCCGAACGGCGTTCGCGTTGTAAAAACACAGTCCCGCCGCCCGGCGCTCGTTCTGCGTAAAGCCTCGGTGCTGCGAGCCGGGGAGAGAACCGCGTTCCTCAGCTGCGCTCTTTTCGCTCCGGGCGGGATGCCGCAGGTGCTGGGATCCGCCCTGAGGTGGCCGGTGCCGCTGAGGCGAAGAGCCGGGGCGGGTCGGTGAGGCGACGGGGGGGCGCGGGGCGTTGATCCGATGTGGCCTCGCGCCGCTGTGCCGAGGGGCGGCCTGCCGGCTGCCTGAACAAAGGCTAGTTACCGAGAGACGCGTCAGCGCCTCCGGGATGGCTCTGCGTGCTGGTATTTCTGCAGACGGAGCGGTCTGAACGAGCTCTGCCTGCAGCGAGGTTTGTCTGAACCGAACGGAGCCGCGGTTGGCCGTCCCGGAGCTGCCTCGGGCTGTTTTTGCGGCCCCGGCGGGTGCCTGAGCAGCGCCGGCTGCAGTTTATCTGTCCGCCCGCTCTGCTGCTGCTCGCCCCACGTGGCGCCCCGCAGCCGCAGCGCGTGGGGCTGCGCCGAGAGAAGCGCGGTCCGTCCCGCTCGGCCCTTGCGCCGGCTGCTTCTGTGACAGGACCGGTGATCTTAACTGAGGAAGGAGAGATCGTGTTTGGCTGTTGTCTGCCGTTTCTGGTCTCCTGGCTTATTAGAACGTTTTCTTGTATGTGCTGTATTTGCCGGTCGCTATTTGTTGTCACGGTTCCTGAGCAGCTCCCATCTGTGTTTGATTTATTGGTGTTTCCTAACTTTGTGACAGAGTTGTGATCTCGTGGCAGGAGGAAGCCAAGAGGAATACTTGAATGATAGCTGAATTCACGTATGTTACATCAGATACACTGCATTCTTGAAAATTTATTCAGATGGTATCAGAAATAGTATTAAACTGTAAAGCAACTTCTAATGCTGAAATTCTTCTGTAAATGTGCAGGGAAATGGGACCTTCAAGATGAAATCATAACGAGCTTCTGCATAGATTAAGAAGAGATATTTGTTAGTTCCTGCTCTCTTTCTTTTAGATGGCTTCTTTAAAGATGGCCAGGATGGTAGAGCTTCCAAAGCCTCGGGCATGGCCCGTGCTGTTGCTGCATTTTTACCTGGGATGAAAAGCTGGTCAGAAATCTGGTGAACAGAGGTGAAGCAGGAGTTGAGCCTGGGCTGGTCCTCGACGTGGTTAACCTGGATCCCAAATGTTATTCTGGGACCCCTCCGTTGTGGGCAGCCTTTCAGCAGTGGCAGGATGTACAGACAGGCATAGATTTCACCTCCTGTCTCATTCTAGAATGAGTGACAGCATTGCTGAGAGCACCTTGGCAATTATGAGGGGAGTTAGTGCAAAATGCAGGCCATGTATTTCTTGCCCTTGACCAAGCCAGGCTGTAAGCAACCTAGCGAGATCTCTGTTTGTATGAGTAGATAGTCCTTGGGAGCAGAGCACTGACGTGGTGTTCCTGCGTTGGTGCTTCACCTCCTGGGTTCCCTGGGCACTTCATTCTCTTTGGCAGGGGACTGTGAAAAAGACATCCTAGAGATGTTATCAGAATTACCTTAAAGGGGATTGCTGAGATGGACCCACTCACGTCAGGGATTAATGGGGAGGACTTGTACACACTTCTGATCGGTCAGATCAGAGATTTCTGATTCCTCACTCGTGCTGCCATATTATATGACTTCTGACTCTTTTTTTTTTTTTTTTTTTTATTTTTTGTTTTTTAGACTAAATTTTTTGTGTTCCAGTTTATAGCTATGAGGAATTAAGGTGAAATTACTTGGCAAAGGATGGGTTCTTGGCTGCTTACTACAGTCTGTTGTCAGTTACTTGGGCTGTCAGTGATATCTTTACGGTAGAGAATATTCTGATTAATTTTGGAAGGCTTCTCCTGGAAATGGTTTCTGGTCATGTTTGTGTGGTAACACATATTTGGAAGGGTTTCTCTCAATATTGTGTTGCAGCATTTCTGAACATTTTGATATAGAATCTCGTCAGTGATGAGCATCATCTCATGTTTCCTTAATTGTGGCTACCTTGTTAGAACAGAGAAAAAAGCCTGAATCACTCTGCAGTTTTGAGAGTGTATTTTAGAGTGGTCATTGCCCTTGTTTGAACTCTTTCTAAAAACCCTCATTCTTTATCCCAAGTCTTCATTATGTTGTGTGCTTTTCTGACAGAACCTGCTTTAAAACACTACCCAAATTACTAAAGGAAAGTGTTCAAGACTTTGGCACTGAAAAGATAATGGGACTTTGCCAAAAGGAGAAAATTGGCATTTTTTTTCCTTCCTATGTGTCATTCTTATGAGTTGGAGCTGTTGCTGCCTTAGGAGAGGTCTTTGTTGTGTTTTAATGTGCAAGACTAGGCCTGCCTAAAAATCCTCCCAACTCTTGATAAGATACGTATTCATACAGTTACACAATTACACAAATTCTGTATTGGTGAAGATGCTGTGAGGCTGCTGGTGTGCTCCTCAGCCATCAGTTAGTGGTGCTGAGACTTTGTCCTAGCTTTATGAGAGAACATTCACTCTTCACTTTTAATTAACACAGGTTTCTTGGAGGGACTCAGAATTGATGTGGTGCTATGGCAGAATGGAACAGCAGTCCTTGTTCTGCAGAGGAGACTGGAGCTTCATCATCAAGTAGTTTATAGGTAAGCAGAGGAAAAAAAAGACCTCAAACCCTGTGGGTGATAGGTGTTCCTCTAGTTTGCTACCTTGATTCTCTTTTAAAAAGTTGTTAGTGGGGCTGCAGAGTGTACTGCAGGGGTGGAGAAACAGGGACTTCTCTGCTATCGAGGAGAAGCCTGACTTGAGATGGTGCAAATGTTCTAAGAAATCCAACACTCCTTAGCAACAGTTGTGTAACAAGCAGTTAGCTAATAGGCGGGAGTAGATAGCATTTATAAAGATGCATGTCATGATAGCTGCTTTTAGAGCATAGTTAACATGTAGAGTTTTTATTGAAAGCCAGGGTTTATAGCTTGTGGAAAAGTTCATTCAGCATCATCTCAAGCCTTATCCAGCCTTGTCTTGGTGTTTACCCAGTCATGTTAATGTGAACACAGTTGGAGGGTGTAGGGAGAGGCGAGAGCAGAGAACCAGTCCTGAATTACCAACAAAGGCTGCTGGTCACCACCCAGTTCAACAAAGATTTGCTCACCTGTCCCAAGGCCTGGGGCTCACCAAACACTCCCCAAGGAGGGATCTCCAGATAGAAACCTTTCCCTTGGGGCAGCCAGCCCTTTAATGAGGGCAGGGAGGGCTGGAACCGGGTTTTTGGAATTGCTGCCACCTGTGCTCCCAGGGCTGCGTCCTTCCCCAGGTGCTCAATTATTGCTTAGGGCAGAGACTCAGCAATTCCCATAGGGAGGAGTGCATGTTTATTTTTAGGTCTGTGTAAAATTATTAAAACACAGAATTGCAAGTTGGGACCCAATGAGAGTATATTACTGATACACTGTGACTATAAATGCTGTAATGTACAAATGCATAGTGAAAAAGTGCTGCACTGGTTTTCCACTGTTTGTGTTTGAAGCATGGTATCTGAAGGTAAGTTGATAGCACATATAGCCTGCAGACTTTTATAATGGATTAAATTCATACAGAAAAAGTATTTTAGCAAATTTACAGGGCATACTGTTCAGTTTTATGGGTACTTAAATAATAATTTGATTTTGTAACACTTTTCCAAATTCTGAGGTCATCAGCGTCGCACAGACTTTAATGAGGAAATGGTTGGTGATCAAGTATGGAGGTTGCCTCCATGTGAGAAAGTATCATAGTAAATACTTAAATGAAGCAGCTTCATGACAGAAAGAATCTTGTGCACACTGAACAGCTCGTTGTTCTTTCTCCCAAAGAAGTGCATGCAGGTGTTTGCTTCAAAACAAGCTGAGCAGAATACAAAATGCAAATATGAAACCCAGCAATCCAGCACATCTTGAAAACTTTCAAAGAACTTAGGAAAATCGAGAATGAATAGGATAGATTTGTCCAATTTGTTCTTTAATGAACCAGGAGGCAGATGAGTTTTGGGGTATGGTGAACGTTAGCTGCACGTAATGAGAAAAAGATCTTGTTGTGAAGTAAGGTCTGCAGGGTTCATGAGCCGTATGCAAGGTAATTGTTTGCAATTGTTTTAATTCTTCTGAAGCTGCTCTGTTTCGATTCTATTGAAGAGCACCGCGTGTGCCTCGTGTGCCTGTTGCACAGATCAGAACTCCTGCAGTACCTCCGGCTTCTCTTTTTATGACAGAAGTACCTTACTGAAAGCAAAGGAAAATGCTGCACCATGCTTTTGTTCTGGCTGATACTAAGGTAGTCCAGAGTCTCTATACATCAGAGTACCTATGTCAGGGTTCTCAATTTCTTGAGACAAGAATAAAAGCAAAGGAATTAAACTAACAAAACCCAGTAAACCGAAATGTTGGGAGTTCAGGAGTTCTTCATTGTTAAACATGTTCTATTCTCTCTGATTCTGAAGAAAAACCACCATTCTTTTGGAGTTTGTCTAAGCCCTCGTATCATTCTTGTTCCTTTTTGCAGGAAAGGTACTTGATAACGTTGCCCAAATATTTCTGATTCATACAATCCAGAATTTTAGCTTGTTATTAAATGCATTTCTCATTTTTAATAAGTAAAAGCAAACAATTTAACTGTTTTCCTTTTTTTTTTATTTGAGACACTTAGCAAAAATGCTGAAATATCAAACATTTCCTCAGTAGCTACAATATTGCCACTATGTACAAAAAATCTGATAAATGTACTACACATATAAAAATACAATATGCCTTAATATATATACAGTACAATGTGCAAAACATATGGCATTCAAACGTATGGAATTGATTTTAGGACTGCAAACAACAAATACAAAGGCATCATGGTTTCTTATAGAAAGGCAAAACATAAACTGACGCCCTGATTGCCATAATTTGCATTTAGTAAAGTAGTGCTTAAATGAAGAGGGCCCTAGGAAGAGGTGTCCATCTTCTTCTTTTCACGAAATGAGATGCTAAGACACAGTAATGGCTATGAAAATAAGAAGAGCAACACCTACGAGGTTAGCGTCATTTCTACTGCAAGCAGCACTGTGGAAGAAATATCTGGAAAAAAGCCTGTGCTACTAATACAAATTTCTCAATCAACAAAACAAATCTGTCCTCTTAAACATCAAAATCTGCTTTGAAAATATCTACATCCTTAATTTTAAAAAAGTATGGGTAATTCTTTTGGGGATTTACTTTCCTGTGCTTCAAAGTACAAAGTGCCTTCTTTGGCAATACAAATGGCAATGCTTTGGTTCCTTTTTACATTTTTATATTACTATAATTTATTTGAGGCTGTTTTTGAATATCTGAGCTGTTCTTTTTATAAAAATAGTGTGATTGTATAGTTGTTAACCATTCCCTGCTTTTTACTGAGATTTCACTCTCAGAGCTTGAATAGCTTTTTTTTGGCTAGAATTCTACAAATGTATTTATGCATTCTGAACCTAAAAGTCTATATATTCAGACACTACAGAATGACACAGGTGTCTCTTTTCTGCATGTTATTCATCACAATAGAAGGAATACTTGAGATTATTTCAGGTTCAGATTTTAAAGGATGCTCTTTATTGGCCACATATATACTATGTGCAACTCAGTTCCATGTCTCTCTCAAAAGAAAACCTCTATTATGGCCTAGAAATCATCAGAAAGCAATTTAATAGGCCACAACAAAAAAAATTTAACAAAATATTCAGTAGATATAAGTGGAAGAATATTTTTTTCCAGTTTTAATGTAATTTGCTTTAAACTTATAATACACTGAAGATGCCATCCAAATGACTGTATACATCAGTGAGCTTTACTGTGTTTTCATTACATAATGTCCTTCCAGTTAATTATATTCTTTGACTGCATTTTCTCTGCCTTGAGAACAGTTCAGCAGCTTGTGCCTGGTTTCCAACTATGGTGCTTATGCTTTTCAGGCATCAGAATGTTTAAGATTATGTAACAGAGAAGTCTAATATTGAAACATCTGCTTTGATTATTTGCTTCCTTGAAGATAACTCCTGCTAGTCAATTTAGAGATGCCTTGAAAAGAAATGTCTGTATTAAACTGTGATTGCTTCTAATGTTGCCTCAGCTTTTTAATGGGCTGGTTTTGCAAGGCTCTCATTACTGGATTAGAAGCTACAATTCTGTAAAGAGCAGTTGAACAAACGGATGGTTTTTTTTAAAGATACAACTGCTAAGTTTATGACAATGACTTGCTAACTGTTTGTAACACTGAATAAAATTTGCCTGTAAACTTACTTGTCTTACATAATGCTGTATGGCACCACAAGTGCATGAACAAATACCGGTTACTACATGCAGGATGTGACTCCTCTTGATTAATACCAGCCCTGTAAAACACACCTGAGCTCCTTCCGTGTCTAGAATTGTGAACACCAACTTCTGAATTTCACACTGTTAAACGGTATTCCTAATTCCTCTGTCAGAATTCAGTAACGCGGCTGTCGTAGGATGTTCTGTCAGCATATTGCAGCCACTGTCTGGCAAATCTACTGCCAGGGCTTTCCTCTGCAACTGTTCTAATGAGAAACATTCAGTTCTGGACAGTCAAACTGCGCAGTCATGACTAAATCTCTAAGATGTGTTGTATCTGTGTAAGAAAAATGACAATGCAAAACATGCACACGCACAAATCTAAGCAAAATCTATTTCTGCCATAACTGTGTAAGTAACGGTGGCAAATATAAATCACATTTCAGTACAAGGGCTGTAGCAATCCATCATATATAAGGTTTAATACAGATAACCCTCAAATGTACAAAAAAAGTAATCACGCATCCCCCACACCAGAATATCTGCACTTTGAAAACTAAAGTGATCCCTTAACTTTTTTTTTCTTTTTCTTTTTTTCCCCAAATAGACTTTTAGAGCAGAAAGCCATACTGTACTGCAGACAACACATCTCAGCTGTTTGGTTTTATTTCTGCACATAGATTCCTATGGAGTAATTAACATTCTACACTGCCAATGAGGATAGTTTTGTAGCAAGATGACTTTGCCAGTTTAAGCATATTTACATGCATATCAAAAATGACAGTACAGTCGTTCTAGGTTAATTTATTCTCTAACAATTAATTCACTTGCCTCTTATTTAATCAGAAGGCAGGGTCAGAAGGGGTAATTGTAACCACGTGTTTGTGGTTCAGTGTGTGATGTAGCACACACTACGCTGACGGTACTGTAGGACTACATAAATTCCATTCAAAGTTGTTCCTGTCAGACCAGGAGTCTTAATTCTTGTTCCAGTAACAGCTGAGGGCACTTTGTATCTCAGAGTATCAGCTCCCAAGATAATACGATGAAAAGGAATGCAAAAACTGAATGTTCTCAGTGTTATTTAAAAGAGTCGTAGAGCATCAACATTTAAGGCAGACAGTCCACACACGACGTTGTACTCGAGTACAGGAGGCACAGCAAGAAAGAATAAAGAATTGTCTTTCAGCTTCTGTTGTGAACATGTTGATAGACAGTTCTTCTGTTCTTGATTTCAGATTAAGTAAACCCTGACCTGTAAAACTACTGAAAGTAGATAATGATCTAAAGTGCTGATAGCTGATATGATGCCAGTTTAAACCCCAAATCAATAATATAATCCAGTATTTCACCTGAAGCCAATGGAATTCTGCACTTGATATCTGGAAACGTGGAATTTACAGATAATTCTACAACATTTTATGACAAGAGTATTTGATTTGATATTGACATGATTATTTCTTTAAATTTTCAAACATGACTCAAGTTGCTAAGTGGTGAATGGGTACTTTTTGTTTTGCTACTTAAGCTTCACACCATTTTTAATTTAGTTCCAACAAATTTTGTTTTTGAAGGTTGGCAGAGGAAGGAATTCTGAAATGAGATCAGTTCTCAGACTAGAAAACATATCACCTTTTCACTGTTCAAGAAAGAAGGGGCTGCTTTCTTTTGTTGTAATTTAGAAACACACTTATGTGGAAAAATTCCAATTTTGTTTATCAGCCTGCCTCCTCCATAACAACATTTAACAGCTATCATGGGAAACACTACTGTAGAATTTCTGAGTATCTTCCTTAATGCTGTAGCATTTTTTTGTTTGCTTTTCCTGACTTTACATAACAGGCTCTGAGAAACAACTCATGGCTTTAAAACTTTTCACGCGCTGCATTGTGCAGCAAGAGTTTAATTCTGTTATCTGTCCTCACCACACAACAGTATATCCTGATCGTTTGCCTTTTATAGTTTTCTGTGTGTACTGTTTAGAATTCTTACTGAGCCTGTTTAGATTCCCTGATGTCGTGTAGTGGCAGATGGAGTTGTTCAAGAGCTGACAGTATTTTTCAGGAAATGATCACTGTCCTGTCAGTATTGTCCCCTGCAACTCGATCCTACAAACACCTTTTGCTGGGGCACTGGCACTGCTCCTGCATAGATGTTTGCAGGATCATAGAGCATAACAGCTCATTTAAACTTTGCTGCTTCCTCAAAATGTTCTAAGATGCTGAGATACTGTGTTCACTGAACTAAAAATATCCTCAATGACAAATTAAGATACTATTTTCATTACTGTAATTACTTCAGAGCACTGTTCCCCTCTGTTCACAAAAATAATCTATACAAAGTTTAAAAGAGTATACAAATAACTGTCTGATATACACATTAAAACCGAGCTATTAAATCCAGAGCATTTAATAGAAAATTCAGTGTTCTCAGTATTACTTGGCCTAGCTACAGTGGATTTCTTGCAGTTACGCTTAATATCCCTTTGGATGCAGTTAAATTCTTCCCTCATGATCAAAGAATGGGGAAGAGTTTTAAAAGCCACAAAACCAAAATACAAAAACAACTCAAACAAATTAAAAGTCTAGATTTATGAAATTTCACTGAACCAGCCAGTGTTTCTACTTGCCTTTGCCCTCACAATTCAATTTGAACCTGGCTCAGGCTATCCACAGGAACAATGAAGTGCAGTGATATCTCAACCTCCCTCAAACAACATTTGCTCGCTGTGTCAATACAGACAGTTGAAATCTCTCCTATGTTTTCTTCTCTAAGATGAGCCATGCTGTGTTGTTCATGTAAGCATTAAAAAATCAGAGACATAACTTCCTTCTTATATATTTGGGATGCATTTCCCTTGTCGTGCTTTGAAACACTAAGTACAATCATCATTTCTTGACTTGTGAAATACAGCTTTCAGAGAGCCCTGATCTGCATTAATGGCATGAGCATGGAGTAATTCACTGTTGTAAACTAGGACATCAATAAGGAATTACCTTCAAGCATTTGTTCTTACAGACATTTCTATTGTAATTTATTTTAACTGCAATCAGAATAGTGTAATAGGATCTCTACAGTAAAAAGAGATTTCCAGGTCATTTCTTATTGGCTACAGCTTAATCCCAGTGCAACTGGAGGTCCTGTGTATCTAGGAAGTCAGTGGAGAACACGCTGGGGGCAGCAGAGTTGAGAGGAGTGAGTCCAGATGAGGAGCTGGGCATTGTAATGTCCAGCCATTCCATATTGTCTAAATTTGTGTCAGGAAGGTCAAGAGATAGACAAGAACTATTAGTGGTAAACTGGGGGTCAGACGTTTCCATGGGTGAATGGGAGTGATCTAAAATGCTGGAGTGATTAAGCAGATCATTCTGGAGGTCTTCAATTAAAGAAAACGACTCTCTGTCCTCGTTACCACTTGTCAATTGAGGAATTTCATTACCTGAAGGTAAAGTTCCATCCAGGAGGGCTTCAAGTTGGTTTTCCAGACTTATAGACAAGCTGGTTGTTGGTTCCAAGGACACAGGAGGAGGGGCCATTTGGATCTGTGGTGGTGGGCGGGATATCACTGTATTTACTGGCATTGTAGTGATGTTGGCTGTTACTGGTCTCATTTTAGAAATGGGAGATGGTTCTTCCTTTATTGGAAGGGAAATCTCTGCATTAACAACAGTAAAACAAAACAAAAAACAAACACGAATTCAGAAAAGACAGTGACATGTCTTCAGGCTTACAAGTACCTTTTTTGTCCACTCACTCTGAAGATGTGCCTGCAATGAACTTCAATGGAGTAAGACATACATCAGACTAAGTGTGTCAGATACTCTGTGAACAACAAAAAATGTTAAATTCCAGAGTTCTGCTTTCAATAATACTGCAGTTATAAGAATAATTTTATCAAAATGAAAAGGAACAGTTTTCTAGATCTCAGCTTTACCTCCTTCACAACTTATAATTTATAGTTTTATATATGTTTAGTCTTTATAGTTTAACATATAGTTTATAGTTTTAGAAATAGTTTCATTTATATCATATAACTCTTATATAACTAGAATATATATATAACTAGAGTAACTATGGAACCAACACATTCCCTCCCTGAGGAAAGAGCACCTGAAGCAATTTTCAGTTCATGCCTGCTGACTCCCATGTCACCCCTGACGAACTGGTCTGTGAGATCAATTAATGCCATTAGGACAATTTTATAACTGATTCTAAAATGTAAAATTACTCTGTCTGTCCGAAGGACCATGTAAATTAGTGACAGCAACAGTAAAAGGAAATACAGCAAATAAATTCCAGAATTTCTTCTATGTGAATGGAGTCCAAAAATAAGATAAGGTGCAGAATGTTTCAATGTTTCTGACAGACCATGACCAGAGATAATTTACAAGCAGAGAAGTTGCACAGCTGGTCGACTGAGGGACTGCGTTTTGGGGATTGTTTTCTCTAAAATGTAATTAACACATACCTTCAGAAGTACTAGCTTCATCCAGATTAGATACTTCCTATCCTTAGAAGAATTCTTTCTTTGATTACAATGTTGTTTTTATTACCAGCTTTAATTCTCACATCAGCTCCTTCTTGGCTTACCTCCACTTTTGATGAGAATGTCAAAAAGATCATCCATCTGCTGGCTGTGTGCGCTGGAAATCTGTGATACATGAGAAAAGTGTTATTCTTTTTCACGCGGTGTTACATTCCTAAGCTGACTGAGATCCTTGCTTCTCTGAATAGTAGCAAGGTACTAACCTATGATCAGGGTTAAAATTCTTCATATGAAATTGTCTGTGTAGAAAATAAGAGTTTGGAGAGACATCTATAATCTGTGCCATTGGTTTGAGTCCCAAGTATTGGGAAAAAAATATGAAAAGAAAGAGAGATTTTATGGAAAAGTGGGGATAAGGAAAATAGCTATACTCCTGCAGCAGGAAAATACTTGGAAGAGCAGCTGGACTACAAGGCTGTACCCCCTGCTTTCTTTCAGAGACAACTTGTGAATAGTCACCACACAAGATGTGTGCATATATATATTTTTTTCCACTGGTTGTAGATTCATGTTTTTCTTTTTAAGAGTGGAGAGATAAGTGTTAATTAACTCTTTGTTTACCTGTTCTAAACACTCATCTCCTGAATGCCTGAACCTTAAGCAAAAGACAGACAAAGTCCCATAGACACTCTCAAGCTTAGGCAAAGTAGAGACTTGTTTGAAGGTCTCAGAACCAAAGCTGTGTTTTAAAACATTGGTTATACTCCAGAGTGAAAGCAGCTTGTCTTCAGGAAATGTGGGATCTGAAAAAGGGCCAGCGGGGAGACGCGCTGCTGGCTGGTAGTGATGTGGTCACTTATCAAGCTTAGTTCAATTACCAGGTTAATGGAACTTGAGAAGCCCAAACAATTTAGAGCTCTGGGTTTCTTTAACAATTGTTGGAAGAAAAAAAAACAAGTAAAACCTATATACAGAACACCTGATATGTTCAATATATCTTCATTTTATTTTACCATTAGTTGGACATTGGTGACACATTCTAACCACTGAGATGAGGGAAATACATGGAGAAGTCAGAGGAAGATGTGGGGGGATAAATAATACAACAAAGTTTCCATGTTTACACAAAACATCTTTTTCAAGAATTAGGGTGGGATTCAACTGCCTGAAGGCAAGCACAGAATCACAGAATGGCCAGGATTGAAAGGGACCTCAAGGATCACGAATCTCCAACCCCCTGCCACATGCAGGGCCACCAACCTCCACATTTAATACCAGACCAGGCTGCCCAGGGCACCATCCAACCTGGCCTTGAACACCTCCAGGGACGGGGCATCCACAGCACCTCACCACTCTCACAGTAAAGAACTTAAAGCACCTAAGCATCTAATTGCTGTTTAAGATTGCCACACCTGCTTCTGCAGGGGGAATGGCACTCTAGTATGTCTGATGTCATAGGTGCCTTCATTGTGAGCATGTCTTAGACACGCCAAGAACATAAGAAATGCAGTTAGATACCCGTGCTTCTGAGTGCTTCCCTCCACAAAGACAGCACTCAATGCTAAGTCAGAGTTGTCTCTTTTGGAATGGTTCTAGAACAAATGAAGTTAGAAGTGTTCATTAGATTTCTTTACAACTTCCTTCCACTATGAAGAACATATGATAAGTGAACAATACAGCCTGCTGGATTAATCACCAAGCTCACCAAACAGAGCCTCCTTTCAAAGAAACGTGTGCTCAAGTATATATATGTTTGCCTATATGCACATAAATGCACACGTTTTCCTCAAGTTTCCTCACTTTGGAAAGAATCAACACACTTTCAGTCTGAAACAACTGCAGTTATTGTTAAGCAGTAACAGCAGCATTATCCCACCTGTATGTTTCACCAGCTGGTGAATCTAGTTATGTGTCTGTTAATTTAATCAAAAGGAACAAGAGGAGTCCTGCATTTAGGAAATATTAATGGAGTACATTAGAAAATCTTAACACCAAAGAAAAACTACTCTAAGCAATGACTTTTATAGTTCTAAAAAGTGTAGAATGTCTTTCAAGGACTGAACAAGTACAAATAACTACCTCACGGTGAGATGTCTGAATATTGCGGGTCTGTTTTATGGCCTCTTCATAACGGGGGGGGTCTTTTGTCTTGGATGCTGTGCTGTTGAAGAGCGACTGCTGAACAATATAAGACTGGGCTTGAGATGGAGAGCCAGGCTGTGTGAAATAACAAAGTAATGACTAAACAACACATTTCAATTTCATGTATTAAGGTCCGCAGATTATCTTGTTCTGTCATACCAACCTATGCATTTACAACAGTACAATCAGAGGAATAAAATCAAGCTTTTCTCACACAAATATACACTAATGCACTTCTTTCTTGAGTAAATTGCAATATAGCCACCTGTTATTTAATAACAATAAAATAAAAGAGAACTTTATGGAGTACTGTTGGGCTATTCTTACCTTATTAGGAGGAACAGGTCCATTCTGCACAGAGGGAGTCTGATTATTACCACTGCGAATGTTAGAGTTTGATGTTTTGTTAATAAAAGATTGTGAAGGTGTTGTAACTGGTGCAGTCTGATAGGAAAACACTGTAGTTGATGTGGTAGGTGGAAAAACCTGTAAAGGTTTAAGATATCAGTCTTAATATTTCAGTGTTTAAATTACTCCAACTAGCTAAATGACATTAAAAAGTTTAAAGCGTTTTTTTTTAAGTACTTGCTTAAATTTCCTGTTAAGGGAATGTTACTTGTACCTGTTTTTCGCTCTGGTGGATTAATTTGTAAAACTAAAGCTAATACACTTTGAAAGAAACTGTTTCTTTGACATGCTTTCATTCACTCCAGATAAATATGACATTTCCTTGCAACTTTCCAAGAAGCACAATACTGTATAATTGAATTTTTCTGAAATACATTCAGGAGTATGGAACAGTTTAATACAGTATGTGTAATTTCCCTACCGAGTGGGCAGTCAACAAAATGAACTAATTTCTGCCATTACCTAAATGCCTCTCGAACACTGACAGCATGGGGCATCGACCACCTCTCCCTCTTGGAAACCTGCCTCAGTGTCTGACCATCCTCACGCCTGGGCATTTTTCCTTCTCTCCAGTCTGACCCTCCCCAGGTGCCGCTCTGTGCCGTTCCCTCATGTTCTATCACTGGTTCACAGGGAGGGGAGAGCAGTGCTTCTCTCTGCACTTCCCCTCCTCTGGAAGTTGCGGAGACCAATGAGTTTCACCTGTCAGCCTCTGCCCACAGGACGTGCCCTCCAGCCCTTTTGTATGAGGCAATCTGTGTGCATAAGGCTGCTCTTTTTAATTCAGCATCACACAGATACCTTAATGACAAAAGTGAGAGAAAATCATAGGTAAGGGATAGAGATAAAGCTAGGGTAAGGTTTGTGGAGTAGAGTTTTAACACCATAAGTGGTCTGCTGTGAGAGGGATTAATGCAGTTTGTTAGCCATACAGATCATCTGTGTGAAAACTGCTGTATTTTCCAGCTGTCTACAGCTAAGCTGAACAGCTGTGGAGATGTTTCCTTGATAATTAATGAATTGAAGAACAAGGGCTATTTGTGAGATGGTATGCAAAGAGACACCTCAAGTGTGTAGCAGAAAGTAGATGCAATCATCAGCTGGTTTGCATATAAATCTGAGCTCCCTGAGAAAGTCTGGAAGGATTCAAGAGAAACTAGTTCTGGAAAACAACTATTAATGGAGATTATCATTATTGGGAAGGCTAACTTCATTAAAAAGCATTAATAAACAGTGTTACTGACAGTTCACTAGCTGTAATGGCTCAATATGCCTGCTGAAAGATAAGGCTCATGAATGCAAACAGGAGACAGGTAGAACTAATGCTGAATGCATGAAGGCTGTTCTGATCTATTGTACTGCATTAGCGTTTTACATTCTGATGTTAAAAAAGAAATGTAATTGCACTGGCAGTTTTCTTATGTAAAAGATGGTAGTAGATGTGCGAAAAAACCAGCTGGGATGAGAGCAGGCTGCTCAGCTCCAGGGCAGCCACACGTAGAGTGAAGGTTATCTCCTGCCATAATTTCTGGAACCCCTTGACAGATAAGGAAGCAAACTGCAAACTTCTGGCATGAGTACATGCCTAAGGATGACTGGAAAATTTCTGTATGGGGACTATCCAATTAACAAGATTAGCCCCATAGCAAATCCCAGCAGTTTTGGCTTCAGTAGGATAACCTTAATGCCCATGAAGTTAAACAGCTTGAACAGGCCATTTGGAGAGTGAGGATGCTCATTTGATCATGTTCCCCTTTACACTGCTGAGCTGTCTAGAGAGAAATTGGCAGTTACCTAACTTACCAAAATTATCCTTTCATTTTGAAATTATTTCTAAATTATCCTTTCCGTGGGGCAAACTGGAAAACCTTGTTTTCCTAAGTCACTGGAACCTTAGAGAACACAGCACTGATAAAGGTGCAAAACCAATCTCTTAGCTTCTGGATAAGGCTCAAAGAAGAAAGCCCTTTCTTGTGAGTGGTTAGTGCTGTTATCAGTCACTGAGTGAACATGACTGGGTTCTGCATCCAGTGCTGATGCACATCTGTTTTGGAATGAGAAATTTCAGAACTGACAGTTTTGTGTACAGAGGAAGAGGATCTCTGTATCATTCCTTGCATTCCTCAGTAAGAGAATTATCCCAAGGTGTGGTATGGTTTTGTCTCTTTGGAACTCCTGTTCCCAGAGTTTTGAGTCTATAGCTTTCTTCATCAGTAAGGATGAATCAAGGGAAGTGGGGGCACTGAAAGGAACTCCCAGGAATGCATGAATATCTGTAGCCATACATAAAAGCTTTCTCTGAAGAAGAAACGCCTACAAGAATCTTTGATTTTGAGATGGTGACAAACAGGAGAAATTGACTGGAATAGCTGGTATACCACTTGTGCCAGGCATGAGAAAGAATGGAGTGTGTGTTATAAGAGTCATTAAGAAAAAAAACAGTCTCTAGCCTTCCATGCTTATTTGCAGCTGAAAAATAGCCCTGCATGGACTAAAATGTTGGAAAGAGAATGAGTTACTAGCCCATTTATCCCATACAAAGATGTACAGAGATGTTAAGAACCTGTATATTATGCCACATATGACAAAAGCTTGTGAAATTGCTGCCTAGAATTAGAATACATGATAGTACATCTCTTAATGCTCACTGCTATCCACAAACCTTTCTGATTTGTTGGGTCTGACCAAGTGCATGCTGCGTGATGGTGTTTTGTTTTGATTGTGGAGTATGCGTCTTAGCTGCTGTCTGGACCGGGCCAGAGGAAGGAATAGGAGCAGGTATTTGTGATGGGGTCTGTATTCCAGCTTGTGATTGAGCCTAAAAGATGAAGATAAAATATTTACATTATTCGTATCTCACAGTAAATTACACTATGTAAAAATCTGTTGCATAGGTTACACAGAATAGCTATAGCATGTATTCCAAGAGGTATCAATGTGAGCCGTGAACAGGAAAGAATAATTTTATTCTCTCTGGTACTGGTAGGCTCCAGCTGTACAGTGCCGTTTATTTTGGCACCGCAGTTTAAGAATGGTGAACACAAACTAGAGAGGACCCAGTAGAGAGCAATGAAAATAGCAGAAGATAAAGAGAGCATGACCAGTAAGAGATGAAAAAAACTGGATTTTAGCAACCTTGAAGACAAAACTGATGTGGCAACATGATAAGATTTCTAGCATGTAAAAAAAAGCTGTTTTAAGAATATCACTGCAGTTTTTACACTAATAAGTTGCATCTAACCCCAGAAAAAGATAGTTTGAGTTGGAAGTTAAGAAAACTTTCTGCAGTATCAATGAAGTGAAATACCAGAAAAAGCTGCTTGAGGTTTTCACAGAATTCTATCAGGATTCCAGAACAATTTAGACAAAGATCTGTGTGCGTGGGTAGCTACCAGCGTAGCTCTTACACTGCAGATTGTAGGCTCCAATCCCCTCACAACAGTCCTCATAAGGGCTACTAAATATGACTGCACACACACTAGCACCAAAGCCCAAACCCATAATATGCCACAACATCAAGCACACGCTGGAACTGAAACAGTGCTTTGCTGGCTTTGTAACCATGAGAGTGGTGGGTGATTTCATCCAGCTAGCAAGCAATAGCAGTGCCCTGGGAAGTGTATGTTTGATTCTACCACAGATCGAGACGATATTCAACCTGGTCAGATTTCTCTTGCAGCTCTACATTTATATCCTATTCTGCTTTATGCTGCATTAATTCAGTGATATGACCTTATTATCAGCCTGGAAATATCATTTGCATAAATATGGTTTCTTTTTGTAACTCCTCTGGAGTGCTGCAACCTAGTGTTCATATTTTTAAATGTAATAAGCCACCAGAACACAATGAAGTTTGAATATGTATTTTTAAAGCAGGTATACCTTATAATGCTAAAATGCTGGGTTTTAGGCTGATGTGGGTTTTTTTTTTTTTTTTTTTTGCTTTGTTTTGTTTTGTCTGGCTGTTTTTTTTTTGAGCTACAGGGGTGGAATTTGTTATTTCATACTACATACCTAAAACAACTGTGCACAGAAGGAATACATAGTAAAACAACTACTGTTCACAAGAAAGAGTCTGGGAAGTCAGAACTGTTTCCAAGATCACAAAGAAAACAACTCCTAGAAGATATAAGCAGGTTGGCTCTTAATGAGTTTCTGATCTTTTCTCTAAAGCAAAAACAAGCCTGATTTTTACCAGTTAATCTTATAAGCAATACATTTATTAATCTGCATTAAGTTAAGCAAATATTGACATGTGTTTTTATGGTGAAAAATGGAAACATCCATACCTGTAGCTTTATATTTCCAACTGGTAGCTGCACCGAAGTGGCAGAATTCGGTCCCTGGATAGATAGTGGAAGGAGCAGCTGTGTTCCTTGTGTCGTCAGTAAAGCTTGAGGTTGGGCAACAACTGCAGTTTGTGGTTGCCTCTGTGGATTAACATAAAATTGAGAAATCGCACTCTGAGGGTCAGCTTTGGCCACAGGTATCTCCTGTTTGATGATAACTGCCTTTTGGGCAACTGGATTCTGTCCAGTGGTGTATACTGGTTGTCCTAAAGGATGACTAGCTACAGATACAGATTGACTTGTGCTTGAGCAGTCAGTAAGAGCATTTTCATCTTTGACAGCAGCACTGAATTGCTTCTGTTCCAAAGCAGCTGAGTTACCAGAAGTCTGAGACTGTTGCTGCTGTCCCCTTTTTTCAACCTCAAGTTGCATTTTCAGTACTTCCACAAGTTTCTGCTCTTGTTCCAGTTTCCTTTTGAGCTCTTCAATCTGTTTTTCTTTTTCTTGAAGCTTGCGGTCCTTTTCTGCTACATCAAATTCCATGCTTGAGATTTTTCCACTGCTCCGATTCTGATTATCATCACTTGTATTTGTTCTTAGTGGCGAAGTACTTAAGAACTGAGATGGTGACACCATGGTCATCATTTCTGTGAAAGTGTCTGCCATACCAGTATCATCTGTGCTTAGATTAGATTGTTCTGAAGGGGAGGGAGATATAGGCAAGGGAGAGCTAACGTTCTCAGTATTTATTGCTTTGCAGCCAGGTCCAGTAGCTGTTTTTTCCAGAGGAAAGCTGGATATTGTATTAGCCACTGTTTTATTTAGTGTTGCAACAGGAAATGCCACAGCCATTTCCCCTGCGTTACCTGTGGCTCCAGTAGAAGTAGTGACTGTAGCAGAGCTGCAAGTAGTGACTCCGTTGTTACTGAGATCTTGGTAGGGTTTCAGACGCTCAATAAGATCTGTTTTTGTTCCAGACACAGGTAATCCTCTCAACTTCAACTCCATTTTAAGCTCTGCTACCTGAGATAAAGTAAAGTATGATAGTAAACAAAAAAAAAAACCACCTTATTTATTATTTTTTTGAAATAAATAATTTTCTTTGAAACAAAAAATAAATATATATTTTACCTCGTTACGTTTCAGTAAGAAAAAATATTTTTCAACATATTGTCTGGTTATTTACTTCTCTGGGTTCTAAGAGCATGCAAGCATGCAGAATCCATGAGTACCTTTCCATTACCAGCAACTTACTTTCACTGGTTAAATGGCCAAAAACTTTGTAGTGTTCAGCTGCCGCTGAATAATTGTGGAGTTACAATTAATTTTCATACTTACTAAAAATTTGAAACTGAAAGTACAGTTTCAATTGTGGGGTAAAATCTTCTGAAGAAAAGCTGTAGAATGTGGCAACAGTGCAAATAAAAGCTCTGACTACTGGCATGCTGAACTCATTGTTATGTTACCAAGACAGACAGGTGTGTTTTATCAGAAATTTATCAGGTAATTTAGATGGTTCAATGGACACATCAAAAAACAGAAGGCTCTTTTTCTAATTATCAATTGAAAAATTACAGCTATGCGCCATTTGGATTTCCTTCACAAGTATAAAAAGTATAAGCAGTCAAAATCGATCTATCTTTTGCTAAAAAAAGTGTCCTCAGCTTCCAGTATGCTTACTGACAAAGTAGAGTGCAAATGTGGTGAGTGTAAATTAATTATGTGCTGCAGATTATCAGTTAAAAAAGAACAGTCATTGGCGTTTATGGTAATGTGCAAACCATCTAATCGTACTTCGGTACTTCGCTGGTGTAGAATTTTCAAGTGTAAGTCTTCACGATTAGTAAATGACAAGAAGTCATGGGAATCCATACACACTGCAAATTTCAAAGAACTGCAGCAATTTTAACTAACTGTCCTCCTGACAAAGATAATTAGCCCTTCCTCTTGCCCCAATCCATTCCCCTCTGGTATCCCTGGCAGACTTAAGCAAGTGTAACATTTCAAGATTTTCAACAGCACTTTTCTTAATTCTTATCAGAACCGATGTAGATGATTCGGTGTTGAAAACATCACCAGCAGGTAGAGCTCATGTTATCACATCAGTGTGAATACATTGTGCAGAAAAAGTAAGAGAAGGACTTTAATTGCTACAGAGCAAAACTTCAGATATTAACTGAAGTGTCTTAGTAAATTGACAGTTCATAACTTAAAAGTTTCAAAAAGTTATTTCAAACGCTGTAGTTTGAATTGTGTCTTGTAGACTTATTTTGTATGAAATAGTTAGCTTTAACACATGCAAGTACATTACTGTCCTGAGAATCCTGTCTTCAGAAAGACATCTTTTCCTCTTTCAAGTTCAAAAAACACTCACCTATCAAAAACCCAACACCTTGGTAGAGAAACAAATCAGCTGCCCACTAGATGTCCCCACTCTTGTGCTCGAGTCTTGTTCCTGTGTTGCTGCTACTGACAAGTATCTTGACCTAAACCCCCATAACCCTCTTCAGATTCATTTTCATTAGGTCCTTGATAGTATTAATTCCTGTTAATGTTCTTCTCAAGGAAGAATCATATGACATACATTCACATTAGACCAGAGTTTGTAGCTTTTCTGAAATTTAGTGTTTGTTTTCAGATGATGCGCTGAACGCTGATGATGAAATCTCCTTAGCAGTGTTATTTCTGTACAGACTTCAGACCTCTCTAAATAAGTAATTATTAAGGCACGTTTTAATTTCTATTCCTTAACCAAACTTCTTCAATGAAATACTAAAATTATCATGAAGAAATTGCTGTTCCAGTGTTAAAATCTGTCAGGGTGGAAATTCCACGTGAATACACCTCACAGTTTAAAAAAGTACCAAACTGTGTACTTGTACAATGTGTGAAATTCTTTTCCTCTTCTAATCTTCAGGAAATAAATGTCACTGTTATAACACATGCTTGTGAGGACAAAACAAGTATTTTAAGTCCAGAAGAGCCTTGTATAAAATCCTCACCTCTATACTAAACAGTTAAAAGAAAAATACGCTTTTTGTTGGTAAAGAATATTTAGACTCATTTTTGATAGTAACTGTTTTTATTTTAAGAACTCTCCTGATGTTTAGGAATGGAAAAATCTCTCTTTGTTACCTTCAAGTCATCCAAACTTGAAGGCAGAGGTCCTGGTTTCCGGCTAGGAACATTACTGTTCTGTCTTGTTGCGTTTGCAGCTGATGTTGGTGTGTTGTTGTTCAAAGCACTTAGTGGTGTGTTCCCACTGTTATTCTGTTTGTCACTCAGTGGCCTTCAAGAGATGAGAAAAATGAGGACAATAATGTGAGTGCTAAATATACAACACATGTAATACATAATACATCTATTCTATATTCTTTTCAGTCAAGAAGCCGTGATTCTATAAACTTAATGAAGAGTGATTTTTTAAAACTATATATGTGACATCAAAATAATTTTTAATAAAACAGCACAGAGAAGAAAACATACAGAGGATACTATATTGATATTTTATTTGTCATTAAGCTTACATATTTGTGCTTCACAGTTTTTATTATTGTCATCCCTTTGGGGTATTGTGGATGCAAAAATAGTTTATACCAATTAATCATTAACTGGGGCAGTCAATTACTGTCCTGTTTGATATCAGAAAAAAAACCCATAATGGTGAAATCTATGTATCAACCCTACATGCAAGTTCAATGTCCACATCCAGTAAGGACCAAAGGGATGATGACGTGCTTTGAGTCAGTGGTACTCTCATAAAGAAGAATCTCATATCATGATCTCAGAATAATTGTTAAAAAATGTTAAAATGCCACCATTTACACTAGGTACCATAAATTAGCTCTTTATTTCATTCAAGTGATTTAGGAAGAAACATTTCTGAAATGTCAGAATACAGAACATAAGAAGCGTGGGTAAGCAAGCAGAAACAGCTCTAGTCTAAATGTTAGGATACATGGTAATTATAAGTACAACCACAGATGGTATCCTTTTACTTTTCTAGTCTCATTTGTGGAGGAAAGAAAACTTGGTGAAAGCTCATTAAAAAACAACAACAACAACAAAACAAATGTTGAAAGCCACTTCAATTTAGGGTTGTGTGACTGTGGCACGTTACTCTGTAAGCACTTCTAGGAATAGAACGATGGTTTTAGATGGTGAGAATGAAGCTCTGCAGTCAGCCGGCTCCTCTTTCTGCTGAACGCTGCAGGCAACCCTCATAAGGACTTACTTTTCTGACTGCCTCTATCTATAAAACAAAGTACACTTCTCACTGTTAGAAGTGCTGAAGAGTTCACTAAGCACTAGAGATGAGGGTATAAACATACCCATTTTACATAATTAAAAAGACTTTTTTTTAACTTGAAAATGGCAGGAGTTGAACAGGTGTAAAAGAACAGAGCAGCAGAACAGCACACGTCTCTGTAAAGATGTCTGCGTGTTTCTCTTCTGCACTGCCTACCTCAATTGTATTTGAGTGCAAACGGTGACAAAACTTTCTTGCTTTCACATACACATGCTTTGAGTTTCATATATGCCTCTGATTGGAAAAAATGCATCTGACAGGTAGAAGATTCTATTTCCATGTCAAACTGAAAGTAAATAGGATTTGTTACAAGCTTTTCAGACTTCAGAAGTATTTTGAGACCTGTCTCATCACTTTGTTGAGGTTAAATAATACCCACACTAACACATGTTGCCGTTTAAGTTTTCTCAGTTTCCATGTGTCTCTAACATCTGAAAAACATTTCTAAGGCACAAAGTCTGCAACTGATGCATATATGCTCCTAAAAGACACTTAGAAAACACAAAACTTCACATACTTCAGCGGTGCAGGCAGAATTGTCTGGTAGTTGTAGTGTTGTTGCTGTTGGCTCAGGATCTGCAGCTGCAAAAACAGTTGCTGCTGTTGTAGCAGACGAGCATAGTTTGAGTCCATCTGTGGCTCGTTCTTCTCACCTTTCTGATCAGGTGGAATATATTGATGATACTTCAATTTTTTCACCCTTGGTTTAGGTTCCTTACATTTCTTACTCCGATGCTTATCATTTGGGTTCTTTGGGTGGCTTTGCTAATTATGGATGGAAAACATTGAAACAGCTATAAAAGACATTGCATTTATGAGCAGTTACGCAAGATACAAAGATAAAGTACACATCAGTGTATTGACTGCAAAGAGAGCTGCTGAATACAGTTGTCCCTGCAATCCCACTCCAAATGACTGGTCGTCATCCTTGAAAAAGTAACATACTATAACTGTTTTATACTTGCGCACGAAAAGGGGCCATCAGAAATTATAGTTTGTGAATATTTTGTTAGTACATGGCACAAATGAAGCTAAAGGATCACCTGTCATTATAAAGAGACATTCTTCTGAAGGAGCGAACTTCAAAGTCACACTTCATACATGTGAAAGATAATAACTTAAACACCATCTGTAAACACCTACAGGTCAGAAGTACTCACAGATCTAGATTAAAATCACAGACAGACCATCCTATCAAGTCCAGGATTACTCTAATGGAGCTTTCAGCACCACTTTTATCCGCAATATCTGTACATATGGTAAAATGCTCTTCCTTTACAAGATCTTCAAAATTATTTTGAGTGAAAAGTTGAAGGCAGTTACCTAGTCATACAGAAAGCATCAAAGCAGAAATCCTGTGTTGATCCATGCACAAGTACTACAGGTTTGGGGGGAATATCTGAATTTGTCATTAAGGTTCTGTGAGGTAAGTTGGTACAAAATTTGCTAGATATAGCCAAATTTTATACTAGAAATTTACTATTAGAGGTCATCCTCTGAAAATTATTTTCATGTAGTTAGGTAGAAGTCTACATATATGAAATCACTACAGAGCTGAAACGTTTCAGATGTTTTCCAACACAAACCTTTCTCACACTGTACTGCAAAAGTCTTCCGTGCTGCTGGACAAGGCAGTGTAGAAGACAACTGAGTGCACTCAGTTTTCTGATCTTCAAATGTAAGGATACAGTAACTTCACTGCTTTATTCTCATACGATAAACGAGCTACAAAAATATTTGTGAAAAAGGAGGAATGCTGTTCACTAGTTTGGCTGTAGATAGATTATGAATGCATTGTCTTCGTTCCTATTAAATTATTTCCCACATAAAGCTAGATTAGAAAACTAATTTCTTTAGTAGAGAAAAGAAAATCCATATTGCAAAAATCTAATATTATTTCTTTATGTATTTAAAAAAAAATCAGTAACAATGTACTGCATCACTCTGCTTCAGTACTTTATTCAAGTACACCATAAGAACCTCTTGAAATAATCAGCCAGCCCTTACAAGTGTTCACATTGAGCTCGGTGTACCAAAGCCTTCAGTCAACAGCAAAGTATGTTCTGAACACTGTAAGCAGTTGTTGTTGGTTACAGATAATGCAACATTATTAATGTATTCCTGCACTGAATGTAGCCACAGAAAAACAAATCAGATTAAGAACTGACTTCAGATGCCACTGTTTCAGATACCTACCTTTACTAATGTTGGCCCAGGCTTTGCTGCAGTCACAGTACTTGTGGTCATGGTGGCTGTAGCAGTAGAGCGTGTAACGTGTTCGATTGTGGGAGGGGTTTTAAGGAATTCAGGAACTGGAGAGGTTAAAGGTGGATACTAGTATTAAAAAAATATAAGGAAAAAAAAGAAACATTAAAAACAACCACAGCATCTGAATAATCAAAAATATGTGAAGCAGTTAAGACAGTTCACAAAACAGTTTTAGAAGAAACGACAGAAATAGGACTCTTCCATGTACACAAGTGTGCTATAAACACACATTTTGGCACACTTCAAATATAGCAACTAAGAAACTGATTTCTTACCTTGACTTGTCAGTTTGTATTTTAATTACTGCATCTAAATGTATCAAAAATCTGTTTTTACTCATACAGAAATTGCTTCTAGTCTCAAGACAAAACAGTAATTGATTTTAATATCATTTTTTAATAGTATATAATATTTTTACAGCAATTCTTTACTTAATTAGTATTGTTGACATTTTTTGCAAGTAAAAAGAAAGATAAACATGAAGTATTTATGAAACATAAAAGAAGCCCTCAGAAAGGGCATTGTACACATAACGCTCACACTGTGTCTTGCTTTGCATAAGTCTTTTCCCCTTCAACAAATGTGAAAAAAAAATAAACAGAAAGAAAGTATCATGAATTTTTTTTTTCTGGTTCAAAGTTGCTACCCTGATAAATCCATTCTGATAAATCCATTTAAAAAAAGAAAAAGTTGGAAGGACATTAGAAGTAACCTGATCCACTCAAGTCAGGAGCATTTTACCAAAACTACTTCTAACATAAGAGAGCTGCTCCAAAAGTAATGCCTCCTATTGGCATTACAACGATGTTGGCCCACAGTGTTGTTGCTGTGTGACAGATGGCAGCAGAGGGGCACTGTGACAGAATGACATGGAAGTGTGGGGGGAGCGAAGGGTGGAGCTGAATTCCTCCATGTGGAAAAAAGGGCCCCCACTGACATTCGTCAGCACTTTTGAACATTGATGGAGGTCAAACAGTGGATGTCAGCACAGTGGTGCATTTCAGCAGTGAAAGACAAACCACTTTCCAGATGGCCATGTATAGTGTCACAGCACGAAATGAAGAGCTCCTGTTCATCGTGGCAAAAATGTGTAGCTAATGGTGGCGACTACACTGAAAAACTGTAGCTGTAGTCCTATCTAATTGTGCTATTGTGCTCTTCGTATTGTTTGTAATTTCCATGGAAATAAGTAGGAAGCATTACTTTTGGAGCAACCTACATAGTTCTTAACGCTGCAATTGCAAAATTCTTCAAGAACTGACAGCCCTCACTGGAGTAGCTTTCTTCCTAGCAGTGTAATGAAAACAGAAATCTTGTCTTTAAGGCAAGGACTACAGGAAAGCCTTCTCTCCAGTTTCTTCCTTGATACAGTTACCAAGCTTTCATACATGAAGGTTTCTACAACCACAGTTACAGTTTTTAAGAATGTTAAAAGTTCCTGAAGTTTTTTTATATGGAAATAAGTGGAGATTTTGTTAATTATATGATTTTACTGATTTTAAATAAAAGGAGAGAGAGGTTAAAGATAGCTAAGGAATGAACGGAATGCGCTGTTACCAATCAATTTCAGGTTTACCACTGCTTGTTACTGATCTCTTGAAGCAACATTCATGTCACCTTAGAATCTGACCCTGCACCTATACTTGCAGCAGCTGACTGAAGTTACAGAAAAACACCGTATTTAGAAAAAACAGCTATTTACTGAGTTGAGGCCTTCAGTTTTCTGTGTGAGGTCAAAATCTTGCGCACGCAAAGAAAATCTTACCCCACAAATTACTGCCCTCAGAAAAGCCTTTCATGAAGGTCAAACATCAACCTAGGAAAACTAAACCTATTTTTTTCATGAGCACATAGTATTAACGCAGCCACATAATTTGAAGAAATAATCTTCAATAGCATTTGCTAAGGAGTTGCAACCACTATGATGTTACTGAGTAGGTACAATTCAGTAGCCTGCACTCTCCTGAGTTTGTTCCCTTGCTGCTACAAGCACTGTGTGCATCATTTCATCTATAAATGTACCAAATGCCATAAAGACTTAGGATTTTTAAAAAATTATTTTCCCGCCACCATGATTCCTGCCAGAAATTTCCAGAATGTTTTCTAACATAATAAAATTAATTGAGCTCAACTCTGTCATGTCCACTCTTTCTGTGCTGAAAGCTGTGAATAGGCCACCTAGCTTTCATAAGCTATTTAAGCTGCGTACTGTTTTTGATCCTTTTTTTCATTTTCAATTTTTTAGATGAATAATATTTTCCAAGATCTTGTTCAGCCAAACTCCTGGCAGTTTTTACTCTGTAAGGAACTTTTATTTTCTGAGAATATTTGCACCCCTTTCTTAAAGGCACACCGCGGGGATGTTTGATTTTACATTATTTCAAAATTTATGTCACTGAACCTCAGAGAATTCCACATTCAGTGCAGTGTATTTGGAATTCATTGCTTCTGGGTGAAAAGAAACAGGCAGCACAGCCATCCCCAGAAAGCGAGCCACTTAGCGAGCCGCCATAGGAACAGTTGCACGAAGAGAACACAACAGTTTAAAATGGAAAAGTCAGTATCTTTCAGAAAACAATCTCTTAAATTCTGTTGCTTGAAACTCGTGGTGTTAAATAATCTCCTTGCCGTAGTGTATAACTTCTTCCTTACTTTAGTTATCTTGAACTACAAAGGACTTCAACCATATGAAATACAAAACTTTTTGCAGACTTGCTGATTTTACTGCTGGTGCCAGATGAGGCAGCTAACCACGTATGTCATTTACCTGTTATGCTTTTAAATTTTAGTTTAAAAATCTAAACGGATCTCAGCTTCCTCACTTGATTACTTCATAAAGTAATGTAAGAATTACTTCATATGAACAGAACTTTTACTTCCAGATACAGATGATATCATTTCTGAACCTTTTATTCTAAATGCAAACAAGCATTTAGCAGGTCGACAAGCTGCAGTGAATATTATGAAAATTGTTATTCAATTCTTACTCAAAGTTCAGCTGTTTTTTGAAGATAGTTGTTCTGATGTTAACTGTTTAGCACCATCAGAATTGTGGTGGTAAAGCACTGCATCCTTACCAGATGCAAATACATCAGGTGAAATCAAGTTTTGGGTCATCAGTGAACATGAGCTGAAGGTTCCCAAAGTTATGTTACTTTCTGTGAGGCTTGAAAATGTGCAGAGGAGGAAGCTTTGAAAAGAACACTGGCTGCCCTTCACTGTTTTCAAAATATTCTTTGCACTTTCTGTTACAATGAAATGCAAAATTTGTCAGAGGAAATTAGAAGAATGAAGGATCAATTTCCCAGACAGAGCCTGCAGAGACACGTTGGCTCATTTTCTTTATTTCTAAGGAACGATAAAGTAAGCATCAGTTTTATTCTGCAGAGGAGCAGCTTTGCATTTTAGGTCTGTACACAGAAGCGGCTGTAAGGCATTATCAAATCCATAAGCAGAGGACTGAAGTTCTTTTGAAGTGCCTTTCCAGTCAGCTTCAAGTGCTCAGTCGTTTTGTTGGCGCAATCATGTCTCTATCTTATGCTTCCTACTTGAAAAGCTTTTGGCATGTATTGCTCTGAGTATTTTTATTTAGCTCTCCATTTGGAATCTCTGTCTTAGGAATCTAATTTCATGTGGTTTCAGTTTCTTCAGCACAAATTACATTCATTTGGTACGAAACTCAGTTAATGCCTTATTTTTATGTCAGTGAACAATGAAATAGAACAGATGTGCAGTACACTGTGTCTGGCATTGTTTTTTCAGCATGAACTTTGCAATACTTTTTGAGTTACTGCATTAATAAGTAAATAAAAGACAGTATCAAGTTGTCCGTGGCCATTAAAAGAATTGGAAACATCTTGGGAGACCAGGCAATATTAATCTCATATACAGCTGTTTAATTTTACATTACTTTATAAAGTAAGAACTCAATATTCAGTTCTGTCTTACCTTTTGGTTTGCCTTATTTTAAAAAGTGCAGTGTGGTTCCTGTATGCAGAGCCCTGGCTTTGCTATAAATCCTCTGGCAGTTTCAATGCATAAATAAAAGCATTTTCCACAAGCACACTTAATAGAAGGGCAAGCATAAAAACGTGGCTCGTTTGTGGACTTTGCTGACTGTTTAACAGATCACTGTCAGAAAACATATAACAGCTTTGCTGCCTTTTCCTCCTCTGAAGCCTTTAATTTGTGTCTTTCTCTGCCAAACAAAAAAATTCATAGAAGAACGAGCAGAAATCCAGATAAAAGTAAACAACTTGCCCAGAATGAAGATAGAAGTAATCGTTAACAGCCATAGCAAGCCGTGGATGTGGCCTTTTACACAACTCCCTGGGAAACAGCAGTTCTTCTACTGGCTGTAATGAATCGTGGTGAATCTATGGCTATGGGAATTTCATCACCACCAACAGCCAAGCAAGGACTCCAGTCTATAATTCTTAACAGAAAGTGGAGCTCCAGCCAACTCCTTGCAACAGCAAAGATACTAAATTCATGTGGAACTATGCCCTATTTCTACAGTTCCAAAAATATACTGTGGAGATTTTGCTTCAATGTTTTAGAACTGTACCTGTGTTGAAGTAGTAGCATTTGGTGTTATTGGTGATGGTGAGTCACTTGTTTTTGGTTCACCAGGGGAGGCAGCTGAACCTTGGGATTCTTGGCTGGCTGGCTGATCTGGTGATAAAGCATCACTGCTGTCTTCATCAAATGAATAGTCATCCAAAGCTTGAGGGTAATTCTGTTGTCCAACTGCTAGAATGTTTATAAAGGAACAAGCAAAACAATTATTTTTAGTTATAGAAATTAAACTTAAACACTCACTGGTGGCAGAATTAGGTAGCTGCTAGAAACTGACCACTTTTCAGGTCAGTCTGAACATATTCTATGTTAAGTATTTTATTGCATTTTTGATATAGCGATAGCCATGTAGATGATATTATTAAGAAACATATTTTCAGATGGAGTATTATGGTCTGTGTATTTCTAGCTTGGCTTTGAACAAAGACTGGGTGACTATATTCGGTTAAATGACGACACAACTTAGGCATCAGAAGCTGAAAGAATAAGAACTAGTAAACTATGTTTTCTTCTGGTGAACTTTAATCTTAAGCCTCGATATATGCTGTAGTTCTTTTACTTGCCTATAATTGCCTCTTTAACACTGGAATCTACAGGCAGAATATTTTTTTCTACCAGCTCCATAGGGCCAGGCCTCTGCGCAATCTTCTCATTCAGATCATCTGCCAAGCGTGCTCTCTTCAGTTTCATCTGAGTGGCTTGCAACGAAGGCTCTGCAAAGGTCTCTAAAATATTTGTTGATTTAAATATTCTATTCAATCTTTCTCCAATTTCGTGACAACTAGCATTGTCTCATCTAACCATTCTGTTTACATCAAAAGCATACAAGTATCATTTGGAAAACCTCAAACTAGTATTAAGATAACATGAAAAGATACTTTCCATCTCCACGCCTTGCTTTCTAAAAAGTAAAGTAAATACATATAACCTATTTTTTAAAAGCAATAATAATTTTGTAAACATTTTTATAATGTCCAAGAATAAAGCAAGGAATATAAAACAGCCAATTCCAATTAAAATCTAAAGATAGCATTTGCTGCTTTAATATTTACCTGTGTATGCTATGGTAAAGATTTAACTGATAACTGATTTTTCAAGTAGAAAATTTTCAAAATTGTATTTCAGAAAAATCTGGAGATATTTTGTCAATATGGAGACGGTTTATCATTACAGAGACTCCCCTCTGGTACTTTATCTATCCAGACCAAATGCATGTTTAGAAACTAAAGAACATTAAACTGACTTGGATTATGGTTATTTGGTAATTTCTGCAGCTGATAAGATTATGATGAATCACAGTAATACAGACTCATTCATAAACCAGGTTACTGTTACTGAGCAACAAGCAAAATAACACGGCAAGGTGGAAGTCAAGTTTATAATAGGTAGGGAGGAAATTTGGGGAGGCTTTTGGGGAGGAAAAATGTCCAGAACTGTCAATTGTTTTACGGTAATGAGTAGAAATTGAAGTAATGCTTATATGAATGTACACCATGGCATAATTACCATTAGGGACTAAAAGCAATATGCACTTGCCAAAAAATGCAGTTAGGAATACTTTCACTGCCACAGCTGTATGTATTAAAGACACTGTAGAAACAGAGAAACATGTAGACATTTAGAAATAATTCACATCAAAGCCCAATTCAGTTAGACAGCTGAGTGCGTAACAGAGCTCCTTCTGCTTAAAAGGCACGTACATACCTTCAAGGATGTGCATTCTGACCAGCTCAGACCGGTCCGGTCTGCTGCGAATCTTGTGCTTCAAAAAATTTTCAGTCTTTAAAGAAATGAAGAATTATCATTAACTGGTATTTATTTGAAAAAGCAGAAAGTAATTCACTGATATCCAAAAATGAATATTTGCAGTTGCATTCAGAACAGCAGATCACTGTTACAACAGGGCTACCAGAGAGGGTTCTGCTTTGCTTTGTTTTTGTTTTTCAGTCAAGCTGTATTAATGAATTTCTATCTTCCCAAAACAAATTTGGAATGTTTCTGGAGTTGATCCCTTTGTGCCACGCTAAATTACAGTAGTAAGATTAGATATTTGCTACAGAAATATATCACAAGAATAATTTAATCCAAGTATTTTTTCCTTGGACTATGTGGGTATGTGTTGCAATATGACCACAGTTAATCCCACATAGGTGCTTGATTTAGGAAGGATTAAGAAACTTAGATTTGGTGCCAACATAACAGATCTAACAGATCCTTTGAAGGTACAAGCCCATATTGTTACTGCAATGGTCAGATTTTTTTTCAAATAGAAAATTCAATATCGTATACAAGTGACTGTCCATTGTCAGATGTTAATGGCAAGTTTACACAAAGTGGTTTACCCTGGCTCGCTCCAGGCTCTTTATCTGCTCGTGGAATGCAGCGGGACTTTTCAAAGCTGTGAAGGGAAAAGTAAAAGTTAAGTAGATAAGAAGTGATTAACAAAAGAAATACCCTAGTCACCATCTGTGTCTGGTTGTTTAATACTACGTTAAGGCAGTGTTTGCATCTGACCAGGCTTACATTTGACTCAGGCCAACTGTATAAATTTCTGTTTCTTTTAATTTCTACTTAACACAGAATACATGGAATATATAATTTTAACAGATATCACTGCATAACAGTTAACTTTTTCACTAAGTGGACTAAGAGACTGTTAACTAAAACTGTTCCACAGCAGGAAATTTACAAGATAGGACATAAAATGCCAAAATACTTTCATTTATTCCACTAATCTTCTCTGAAAGAGCGCTCACTTCTCCGAGGGCGGTCAGGTCTGCAATGGGCTGCCCAGGGAGGTGGTGGAGTCACCGTCCCTGCAGGTGTTCCAGACACATTTAGATGCTGTACTGAGGGAATGCTTTACTGGGAGATACTGGTGGTAGGCCGGCAGTTGGACTGGATGATCTTGGGATTCTTTTCCAACCTTGGTGATTCTATGACTCTGTTCTGTGATTCTACATTAGTATACAGCTGTACCTATGGTACCCTTGCTGTTACCAGAAAGAGATGAATTGTCCTTTAATAAGTATTTATGCTGATTTTTCAAGAATTTTGTAAAAGCTTTGTGTGCTCAGATTAGAAAATAGGATGATTCTACATTATGTATCAATTCAAAGCAATATTCAAGGAGACCGTTAATATTAGAAACCCTATTTGCTTAGCGTGTAAATCATGCAAGAGCAGCAGAATGCCCAGCTGTACTTCATAAAAAAAAAAAGACAGGTAAATCATAGGAATGGTACAGCTGGGAAAGACCTCCAGGGATCACACAGCTCTTCTCCGTCACAAACACACAATCCACTTCAGCAGACACTGCTGATGACAGCCATGTGTACTGCCTTTCAAAAACTTTCGGGGAGATGTTTCCAGGCAAGATGTAGCCATCTACAGGTTTGACTCTTCCTGGCTGTGATTTAAATCCACAGCTTCTTTGCAGTGCAGAAATCTACCACAGAGACGAAGAAAGCTCACTTATGAGTAATATTGTCCACAGAAGGCAAACTCTCACTCTTCTTGCTGCTTAGCAAAAAAGTTGGAGTGCACATCCTGGTATTGAATTGCTCTCAACACAGGGCTGTATATGCAAGAACATGAGGGAAAGGAGAAAGCTGGGGAGGCAGGGAGTTATCAGTTACAGCAAATGGTCTTTTTCTAAATGGGTAAGCGTATGTTATGGCACGTGGGGAGCAGTAAATAAATAAGCAATAAAACCCTCCAGCTGGGTGGAGGATTTCAGTGTCCTTTATGCGAACAGCGGTTCGTTCTCGTCAGTGAAACATGGCATCAATAGTCAGTCACTCATTGTGAGTCTTCTGTGCTGGGAGTGCAGGGCAGCTGGAAGTGCGGGCAGCCCATGAGCAGAAGCCCAAACCCTGGATTTCTTAGCGGTGAACACAAACAGTTCTAAAAGAATCTGGGCCAGTGAAAGATTTAGAAAGATGTCCTGACACTGAGAGTGTGAAGTATATAGTCTGCCCTAAAAAACAGGAGGGATTGAGAAGAAAGTTGGCAGGCTTATTTCCTGGTTACAGTGCAACACCAACATTATCTTAGGACAGAGTCTGGAGGACATTAACTGCAGTGAGTCATAAATTTATAAATTTCTCCTTCTCTTGAAGCAGAATTAATAGCAACCAGAAGAACCATCAAGGATGAAAGAGAGCGGGAAGCCAGAAGTACTTATTTTCTAATGTATTCTACCACATACTGTGATTCAAGTCTCACCACAGTTCTTGATATTAAACAGGGGCATACAGTTTGGTAGGTTTTTATGACTTAATTATTAACTGTAAGGTACAGCAGAGGCTGTTACTTGGGGAAAATCTAAGAAAGTGGTAAACTGAATTTTTAACTGGAGAACAAAGCCTGGTAATTCTCTAGATGAAACTGAAGGAAGACCAACAGGAAGGTCCCCACTTTTCTTCAGAGGCTGTCAATCTTTTGATCCTTTGTCAAGGATTATTTGGGGTGCAAAGCAATTGTAGATTTCTCTGTCCTGATCAGAGCAGAAGAAACTGGATGGGTATAAAATAGCTCTGTTCTACTGCTGAGTATAGCCCTGTACTCCTTTGTGATGGAATGCACAAGACAAGCACGTTCTACATTCAGAGCTAGACAGTCCTGATTAAAGCAGAGATCTTGCCACTCATTGCTAGAAATTATTACAGTCTCCTTTGATCTCCCAGGATGCTGGCCTCATTTGTACTTCCTTCAATAGGAAGAATTTTTCAGGAGTCATCACTCCTTTGGTAAGCTCCACGATGAGTTAAACTTTATGAGCTAAATGAGCTTACTGTACTTTGTGTATGTTGGTGGACAGCTGCCCCTTGGTTACTGAGTGTGAAAACTATTTTTACCAGAACTGAAAACGGAAGAAAGAAGAGGCCAATCCAACTGCTATGTCTCTGAAATCCAATGCTCCTTATCATGGTGCACACTGACAGAACTGAATTCTTCTTGTCACCCCAGTGAAAAAAGATAGCACTACTGCTATGCTAGTCACAAGAGAAGGTGCTCGCCTGCTATACCATAAAGTACAGTATCAAGAGCAAGCAAGACTTCTCACATTGAAGAGCTGGTGATAACTTCTCTGATGACAGATGAATATCCACTGCCTCTACTAGGAGCCTCTGTGGCAAGTGTACAGGCCTAGGAGTTCTTAAACCTTGTGAAACAGCCAGGCGAGAAGGAAAGAAACAATCATCACGTGAAACTGTCTGAACAATTTATCTCTGGACAGACCACAGGAGAAGTATTCAGGGGTAGAAAGGACAAGCCTCGGTACAGCTCTTCTGCCTGTGCAGGAGAATGCCAGCAAGCTTCCACCACGAAGCAGGTGATTATGGAAACCAAGCTCTGCTTACGTCTCGTGTGAGGCTTGAAAAACTTGCAAGTATGGCACTTGGTTGGCTGTCTATATAGTGTGCATCTATCCATCTGGTAATGTATGCACATTATACATACACTAAGGCAGTACAGAAATATGACTTACAGTAATATATATTCTGCAATACAAATTGGATGACAGGATATAATTCTCATTGGAGTGTACAAAAGTTCTCATCGTTAGCCACTAAACAGAGGAGAAGAGCTGCTAGTCAGCTAGAAATAATATCAAGTACAGACTTATTGTTAAAAGGAAGGGATTTTGCCATACATTTAACAGAGACGACATACCACAAAACAAAAACTTGAACGACTTTTTCACAATGTAGAACCTTTTTCAGGTTTAACTCAAAAAGAAACATATTCTCTTGCTAAAGATAATCAACACTATAGACCTAAGAAGGTAAAGATGCTATAGGAAAGCAATTCAAAGCCTGATGAGTATTTGGAAACTGTCAGCAAGAGATTAGCTTTGAGACACTGTGCTTTCAGGTTAGAATTTTTAAAGCTAGAATTCACCAGTGCACACTGAGCTATTTGTAACATATATATACTAATGTTTCACAAGAAAAATCACTTTGCTGAAAGTCTCCTACAGCTTGGTGCTATTATCTGGAGTCCAGTCTCAACCCACACTGTCCACTAGTGTATTTTCCATGTTTTTTTGTGTACCTCTCATTCTGAGGCCAGTTAGAAGACATAATAGAAAACAATCAGCATAGTACTGGGAGCCCAAGTGTGATACAAACAAAATATATCAAAGGAAAGGGTTAGCTGGAGTTGATTTCTAGGACACTATATTTCTTTATTCAGGAGGATCCTCTTGTGATTCCTAAATTGATTTCAGGTGTCACAGTGCTGCTGAAACAACCATCATCTCTAACACATTGAAATAAAATTCATATAATCAATCAAATAAAGGGAAACAGACTCTGGCAATAAAGCGCATTTGCATAAAGCATGTCAATTACTTGCTTTCAAAATAAAATGCTGGGAGTTCAGACACTATAAACTGCAGTTAGATTCCAATTGTAGAACAGTTAGAGATAAAAACGATTTAGTAACTTCATGATTTACTAACTTCTTGCACAGCTTTCAAAGAAGGATGGCAGGTACTCAGAGTTGGGAGCTCAGCATTACAGAATCCTGGTAGCATAAATATATTTATGCATTTATAAATAAATTTATGATCTTGAGGACACTGCTGCCTTAGCAAGACACTTCGCACTACAGCTGATCGGCAGCATCTCAACACTTCAAAAGATGGCATCTAAAGGCATTCACTACCAGTATATAATCCGATCTGGAAGAGAAGAATACCAAACTCTTACACCAGCTTGGGTGCTTTGCCAGATATGACAAATGGATCAGGAACTTCTGGCAACTAGTAAAAAAAACCAGCAGCCTTCTGAAAAATAAAATCAACCCCAGAATAAACAAAGCCTCCTCGTATATTCCTGGAAATGTATTTGTATGCAGCGATGGGAAGAAGCTAAGCACAAAAGCTTTTGATGCACAATGCCTAGCCAAAGTCATGTCCTGTAACATCACAGCCATGATCATGCAAGATTTAACACAGAAGACTTGCCTGTTGATGCCCTAGTTATAATTTCTGCGTGTCTTTTGGTTTGGTCTGGCAACACTTATCCTTAAAATACTGAAATACTTAAAATACTGCTGGCTTTGGTATTGGTGTTCAGTCATTTATAAAATTTGATTTATTTCATAGAATCATAGAATGGCTTGGGTTGGAAGAGACCTCAAAGATCATCAAGTTCTAATCCCACTGCCACAGGCAGGCTGCCAACAGTTAGGTCAAGCACCAGACCAGGCTGCCCAGGGCCCCATCCAACCTGGCCTTGAAGACCTCCAGGGACGGAGCTCTCACAGCCTCTCTGGGCAGCCTGTTCCAGCACCTCACCGCTCTCTCTTTAAAGGACTTCCATCTGACATCCCATCTAAATCTCTCCTTCTTTACTTTAAAACTGTTTCCCTTTGTCCTATCACTGTCTACTCATGTGAAAAGTTTGCAATTTCATCACAGTGGCTATTTTAACTGTAACATTAGGTAAGCGTGATGAATTTACTTCCCACTCATTTAGGTAACTGTAAGGATTCCACTGGTCCTTTCAAATGATAGTTATTTTTAAAGATCTTAGAGAAATCCCGATCTTCATTATTTTATATGTGAGTTCATACTTAATACATTATAGTAATAAAAATTACTAGAATTAAAGCAAGTCTTACGTGGCATGATGCCCTGGTCCACCAGCTGTTCACGTGTCCGTCTTTGTTGTAGCCTCAGCTGAAGTACTGACAAAAGAACACAACCATTCAAATGTAAGCATAATATCCCCCTTAAAAGTTCAAGACAAACTTTCAAAGATGCCAAGTATTCAACTTCAGAAGTATTTTTGCTATATACATTTGGACCTAACTAACCTCTAGGACAGGCACCATTAAGGATCAACTGCTAGGAACATAATTTGCAGCAATCTAAATCCTTATTTGCAATGGATTTTGCTGTTAATTGGTCACATCTGATAAAAGGACTGCTTCAAACATCTATCATAAAAAACTCATACTTCCCCTCCAGAAAAAAAAAAAAGGTTTTTTAATAGTTAATTTTCCCTTATGCTTGTATCGTTTTATCATAGTGCTTCACTATTTCTTAGATGTGTATAGCTGTTAACCTAATGTGAAATTTCATCTTTTATTTGAGCGATGGTCAGGATGCTTGGTCAAGAAAAAATACACTAAATTTGTAATACTTACATTCTCAAATTTTGCTTTAATAGTTTATTATGGATGTATGGTTGTGACATGCTGTTTCCATTGTATTTCACAAGGAAGCAAAACAAAGTAACACATTGTCCAAAACATCAAAATGGATGTAATTTCTAAAAGTTAGGCAAAGGACAAACTTCATTGTTTTCAGAATGTAAAAGGAACCAGCTTATTTCCTGTTCTGCAGTACAGGAAGGATACTCCTCTGGCTTAAGCACTGCTACCGGGAATAGCGAGGCAAATGCTGACAACAAGGACGTTATTTTCTTATGTGACTCAAACACCGCGAATTTAAATACAAACATTTCAGGGCTGTGCCACAGCAGTTCTATTCAGAGTTTACAATATTGTTACACAAGAAGTTGTGTTGTTACACAGGAATTACAAAGAACAGACATGTGCGAACATGGAACAGCAGCAGACCTAGAGCTGCCTTCCCAGATCCAGTCACTGACATGATTCTCAGACAAAGATTTTTCCATCTTCATATGAAAGGGAGCAAACTTCTGTTTGGCATTTGGCATTCTACTGCACTAACACAGCTGCTTACTGCTAGGTCACCTGGTTGGACTGGGCAGCCTAAACACGTCCTACCACCTCAGCATTTAATGGTTATTGCATTTTCATTTTTCCTTGGCAAGTTTGTGGGGGAAAAAAAATCAGAAAGGCCTCACACTGCAGTTTGACAACACAAGCAAGCTAAATAACTGCTTCAGTACTTCTACTCTATCTTCCTCTGTATCTCTCCAAAGTATGCGTTGTTTGCCCGAGGTGTATGCCACTGCTGAGACTCCTCTGGAAAACAAACAAGCAAACAAACAAGCAAACAAAAGCACAGCCCTACACCACCTAAGCATCAATGGTGCAAACACATATACCCCAGGATGTGTTATTTGTATTTGTGGTTGACAGAATTTCTGTCAATTCTTGAAATGAATGTTGCTTGGCCATGAGTGTGATTGGTGGAACTGATAAAGGAAATGGCAGAGGACAAAGCAAATCTATTTGGCAAAAAATAAACCTAAGTACGTAGGTATCTTACCTCTTGTTTTCCAAACAGTTTAAACGAATTCTTTAACAAAAATTAATTCCAAATTGTGTGACTAAAGAAAATAGAGTGTCTAACAGAAGATGCTGCAAATTGAAAAGTAGTATGCTAGTTCTAAGAGATGAAAAGCTGAAATTGTTTTTGCTTTTGCAAAGCAAACCAGGAAAAAATGTAGTATTTATACATCATGGAAAGACAGAAGGGTTTAAGATGCCTTTAGTCACATGGAGACGGAAATAAAGAAGCTGAGATGTTTCTAAGGAGGAGATGGCAACCTGTGGTACATGAGTTGGATAGGTCCATCTGGACAAAAGTCAGCTTGCAGAGCCTGCGTGTCACGACACCGGCAGGAAGGACCTTTATTATGTCACTGCAGTCACAGAGACTTGGCCCTACAACTCAGCAGATATACATGATATACAGAATTGTATCATTACATTGAAGGTGGACCTGTAGTGGGTATGAAGGAAGGGAACTAAGAATTTATTTTACAAAAAGCTAGAAAGGAAATGGGGACTCACAGAAAGCTGCATCAATCAGAAAGATATGGAAGATGGGAGTCATGGAAACTAAATTAAAAGGTTTTAATAAGGGAGATGTGATGAAATCATATTCAAAGACAAGAATGAAACATATGAGAATGGAGCTCAAGTTGCAATTTTAGCAAAGAATTGCAAATTTATTTCAGGGAGAAACTATACAGTAGTTTTTAGGTTAATTTAAATCTAATTTAAACAAATCTAAAACTGACTTTACTGATTATATATAGAAGCAGAAATCCACTCAGGAAAAGATTTCTGCAGCAGTCAGTAACATATAAAGTAAATCTAATAAGACAGGAAGATGGATAAGACCAGAAGACAGATATTATAAATAATCTGAAATCTATCGAGGCATTATACTAATTGATTACACAGTATTATTTGTTCTCTGTCTATATATATCTCTCTTTTTTCCTTTCCTTTTTTTTTTTTTTTTTTTTTTTTTTTTTTTTTTAATAACCATCTCCAGACAAAATGATGAAATCCAGGGAAGGGAGAATTCAAGAGAAATGAGGTGCTTCGAAGCGAAGCTCCTCCGGGTGCACCTTACTCAACGTGGTGCTGAACAGACTGCTCTTTTCTGGGTGAATCCATGCAGCTTGTTGCCTGATTGCTTCTCACTCTTATGCTTTTAAAATCAGATAGTTAACATACACAACATCCACAATCATAGAAGGTGGATCTCCAAATTTAAGGCCCAGAACTGACAAAGATTTAAATATGTTGATACGCTGCAAACTTTACTAGTATTATTTCTTATATTTAAAGATCTATGTACAAAAGAAGGGCTTTGTTAACACCACTGAGCAAATGCAGTTGCTAAAACACAAGCATTTTGCACTTCAAATTATCTGCCAGGAATGTCCCCTTCACGCCGCTGCCACTCCAAAGAACTGTCTTCCAACTGCTTCTGAATAAAAACCATGCAGAGGCCAGTCAGACTCCTGACCTGGTGGAGCCTGTATTCTTTTTTATTTTCAAGTCAGTGCATGATATTAAGTTTAACACTTCAGCACCAGGCTAAGAGATCCCACGATTTCCATGTTTTCCCCAATTACTTTCTGAATACGTAAAAATGAAGTGTGCTATTAAATGACTTAGAGTACAGTTACTAGCAAAGTTGAGCAAGTGATTTTTAGCCTTGGCTTTGTTACAAATGTGTAATTTGTATCCTGTGTTCACTTTGTTACAAATGTGTAATTTGTATCCTATGGAAAAGGTGTCTCAAAGTAGTACTCTATAATCCAAGAACTGGAATGCAAGGAGGCCAAAAATAAATAGTTGCCTGGCAGGAACAATGCTATCTGCATGACTGGCAAGCTTTCACCACTGCTCCTTGTCTTGAAAAAAAACCAGAACACGTTCTGTGTGCAGTAATTCTAGCACTGGTTCCTCATCTAATACCATTTTATATCCTGTTATTTTCAATTCAAGTTGAAGTGCTGTCTTTTTAGAGAAGGTGCTATGAAAGTATTCAAATAGTTGACATTTAACAAGGATAGAAATGCAACAGACTGAATCACTGAGGTGTTCATTAATCAGCATACAGTTATTTCAACTGACAACAAGAAGAATAATGTACTGATTTAAAAAAAAAAAAGTTCTTTATGTAATCAACCCACCACTTCCTCCAGTGGAAATGAGCTATTTGTGTTAAAACTGCAAGAAAAAATGGGATAATGCCATCTCCAACATTCCAGCATTCTGCCTTGGAAATTTCCAAGAGCGGTAGGAACTCCGGTGCGGGCTGCTAGGTTGGCTGCCATGGAAACAGACAGTGCTGGAAACACGGTTGTTTCCTTTAAATTAAAATCTATTACACAGAAAGCCTCTATTGAAAACAGCCTCCCTTGAAACAGCCTTTACACAGGCAGTCTCTGACATACTGGGCTTGATGCACAGAGCAGTAGATGTTAACAGCACGTTCTAGTTGCAGGGAGGCACTGCTGCAGAAGACAGTTCTATCTGCTGCACTGCAAAATACAGTCCTCCATCAGAAGTGATTTATGACTCATCACAGCACCAGGATTAATGCAGGTGTGTGAACAGCAGGGTGGCAGTAAAGTAGGAGAGTGTTTTAGCAGATGGCAGGTGGCCTTCACAAACAATCTATGGTGATAGCAAATACAGTAGCTAGTTTGTTAGCAAATACAGTAACTAGCTTTACTCATTTCTGTGTGTCCAAACTCAGGAAGGGGATGACGCAGTGCTCTTTTCATTTACATGGCATGCCTAAGAAAGAAGGATGGTGAGGAAAAAGCTGTGAGAATATTAGCTGTCTGTGGTTTGTTGGAAGTGATTCTAACTTGTTCAGCAGGCTAAAGATAAAATGCATCAACAGTCGTACTGACCCCCAGCCTGAAGATGAAACGACCTGTTGAATAAGTTTAATTTTCAAATAGAAATAATTAATCATTAAAGAAATCTGACACCACCTAGGCCAAAGTGTCATTTAAAAAACAAAAATCTATTTTTACAAAAAAATCCCTTGCCTTTTCTTGCAGATTTTTATGTATTTTTTTCTATTATTTTTTATGTGAATTTTCTGCTAAGAATATATCCAACACAATGTAGGAAAAGTAAAACTGTCTCTTATGCATACTCATTTCAGCAGATACTCAGTTGTACCATCATTCTGTCTTATAAATGGTGGCAGCAGAGAGTACTGAGGGCTGTTTCAAACCATCTTTTCCAAATTCTGGAGGGAAATCCTACAGCACTGTGATTTAAGCAGCAATATTGTACACATAGTTGTTTCTGGAAGCAACATTATCATACTGGAAGTAGGAAAAGAAAAGCTGGATCAGAAGGATAGTGAAGTGTGATCATTAAAAACAAAGAAAATGAAGCACAACAGTGTCAGTTGAGAAGCTTAAACGAGTAGGAAACAGAACAGTCTGTATCTTTTCCTATTGCTATGGAACACGTTGCTTAGAAACAAGTCAGAACATGCAGAGGCTCTAAAATTACTGGAAGGTCTGCTGGGATGAATATATATGTATACGTTAAAAGCAAAACCTGTATTTTTACGATTCCTTCAAAATCTTTCAAATCAAAAAAAAAACACAAACCACCAACACAGACTCCCATCTCGGGTATGAAATCTGAAAAAACAAAAGCATTTTGTAAAATTGCACACGGTAAGTATCTGAACAGTAATTACATATTCTAAATCTGCAACAGCCCTCTCCTTAATACTGTCTATTAATGTTTGTTTAAAACAGATTTGTATTTCCTCCATTATTACTATCAGCTCAGAAACACGCTGTCAAGAGGCTAATGGGTTCAAACTCTCCATCAGCCACAGACTTGCTCTGTGATAAGTCTGGAGCGTAATACATTGACTGATGACAGACAATTTCCAGCCAAGCCCCCTTGGGAAGTTAATATCTCCATTCTACACAGTCTTCCTATGCGCAGCAGAGGCAGCAAACAAAATGTGTACCCAGGCCAATCATCCGGGTCACAAGATTACACATTAACCTAAAATGAGGAAGGTGGATATATATTTAAGATGGCTGGTGCAACCTGGGGTGGAAGCAATGGCATTCTGTCAATTCTGCTATGGAGACAATAACATAACTGTAGGGGCTTGCTCAGTGGACGACAACAAAGTCACTGCCTTAGAAAGACTGGAAGTGTATACATGCACTGCTGGATGCTTTGTTAAAGGAAAAGAAACCTCCAGCACTGCAACAGAACAGACAGCGGCTTCAGCGTGGTTTCATAACTTAATCTGATCTTAGACTGCAGAATGCCAATGAAGAGGTAACGGTCTCTTCCTCTCTCCAACCACAGCTGCTCCACTTGCAGCAGCACCAGCAAAGATGTAGCCTTCCAGGTCAGTACTCTGACCTGGGAAATCCAAGATTACTGAAATAGCCTTCAGTGACACAAACTCACTGATCCAGCTCAATCCAGAACAGCATAATCACTAATGCCAGCATGAGAAAGAAGATGGCAGCAAACAGCACAAGGCTGAACGAGATGGCACCTATTTTTTGGCAGCAGTGGCCTTAGGCCTTACTTTCTTTGAAAGCTTTGGAAAATCTTGGCGTGACTGGAGTTGCAAAGCAAGTTTTCTTACAGCTCCTGGTTAGCCAATGTATCCCCTAATTGCATATAGATAATATATAACATATAATTACTACAGTGTGACCTTGGTTTATCAAGGTATTCAAGCATGTGGCTATTACAATAGCACTACCATGCACTTATTCTCTGTTTAAGTGCTATACTGAACCAGAAAAATCTGTAGTGTGTTGGTTTAATTGTAAGACATGCAATTATCCCACTGTCATTAAAGAGAGCATTTATGGTAGGCAAAGTTAAGGACAGTAATATAACCTCACAGGATCAGTGTACTGCATTTGAAGTGCTTCCTTTGATTAACTATAACAAACAGTATACTATTTTTCGGCATTTCCTTGTCAGTGTTTTAAGAAACATACCGATAAGCTGCCACTGATGAGGGGCACTATATATAAATACTTAAAATATACTTACATAAATGTACACTATCTAGAAAAACTTTTTTTTTAAATAAACGCCAGCAGAATCCTCAGGAATTTATGCCACGGCAGGAGAGCAGTAAAAGTCCAGAGTTTGACCAGTACTCAACATGCAGGAAATGTGCTAAATAAACAGCTCTCGTGCAGTATCGATTTAACTGCATGGACGAAGGGAAGTAACCACTCCTGCCTCAATCTGGTAACTCATTAACCAGATAGCATGAAGATATTTCCAGCAAGCACCTGAGCAGTGCCTGTGCTTCTCTCATTCTGCCCTGTATGCTGTTTCTAGGACTTGCCAGTTTGCAGTTCCTCACAAGTCAATAAAATAAAAAAGCAAAATGAACCCAGGAAATTAATTATGCTTTAAGGGGAGAGAGGGAGGAAAAACATTTTTTCCTGGTCAGCTTTGTTTCCTTACGGTAACTGGCGGGCAACTGGTAACTCTGAAGCTCGGATTAATACATGAAAGATAGCACCATCCTCATTTCTTCCACCAATTTTATAATCCCTTCAAGAACTTCCCTGCACAGCTGTACATTCTTGAACAAGCTCAGTAATTTCTGTACTGGAACAATCCGGGGTACAAAGCAAAACTGCCCAAATTCACTGCTCGTTTACAAACGTGGCCAAAACATATTCCTAAAATACGCACTGTTGATCACATGGACTCTTTCTTACTAACTGTATGCACAAGATGCCCTTATTTCATCCAAGGCTTTTCACTTAATTTTCTAGATGTGTTGTCTGTTTGCTTGCTATGAGATGACAGTGCTTCGGGAATTTCTGAAGAAGCTGCTTAGCTACCTTTGCACAGTGAGCCCCAGGGACAAACTGTTTTTGTTCTTTGCTCCTACAAAGGCAATTTTGATAAAATGTGTAAAACTAAGAAATATTTTCACAGAACTGATAATAAGTAACTATAGGATACCACACTATATATTTTATTGAATAGTCATTAGCCTACGCGAAGAAAATAAAATCCTTGTAACCTAACCTTCCTGTGCCTTTAATATTCATCTGTTAAAGTCAGCATTAGGATTTGTGTTTCCACCAAGCTCTTCTTCCCTGTAAAGAAGCAAGTTAAAAAAAGACTGCACCCAATAGAATTTATTCCTGAAATAAGCAAACTATCATTTTTAGATTTATCAAACTTACAGAAAACAGATTAGGAAGCAAAGGCTATGTCACCTTCTGAATTACACAGATTTCTACATACTTCATTGTGGATTGCTAAACAAATTTTAATTTTTTTTTGGCTTTAACCATTCACACATGGTGTTGAAAAGTATCTGAACACGAAAGGGAAAATCTGAAAAATACCTAAACTACATATTTATATTATAAACTGAAAAGGTGAAGATAGCAGGTCTTCACTGCATAACAGATTTACTATGTTTTCAGTAATTTGTTCTACACACATAACAAAGAAATGGCTTGTTTTGCTAAGCTTTAGAAAGAAGAAATGCTAGAAGAAGGAATCCTGTATTCCCTCAGGTTCGAGTGGGACTGTTTGAGTTCTCAAGGCAAACACTATGAGAAGGAAGCCACTGTTTGCCTTCTCTCTTCAAGCACTGTCTTTCCATCAGGAGGAAAAGAAGCAGTATTACAAAAAAACACAACAAACCATAAGCTCTTTGGTATATAAAAATGAGTATTTTTTTGTAGCCCAAACTTATTTCTTAGCAACACGGTGGCTTTTCTCCCTTGTTTAAAAAAACTGCCAGTTACTGAATTCTGTAAGAAACTTTATATCTTTTTGCTATTTCAAATGTTATTAAGATCCAAATTAAACACAAAAGCAAAGCCAGCATTTAAATTCTGAGAAAGGCTTCTCATGTGGGAAGGGGAAAGGAAGAAATAAATCATGTCATATGAACTAAGAAGAAATCTCTGTGTCACCAGAGAACCCAATGATACATGGAGCAAAAGCCACGGCTGAGTGCTCTAAAAGGGAGGAAGGAGCTCTGTCTGCTACAAAATAGAACTTGTTTCTGATGGATTATGAAGTTTGAGTCTGAGTCTTGAACTGCAAAGTGCCTGGAAAGTTATCATGCACCAGCTCAGTGCGCTTGCAGGGCTGCCAGCTGACCTCAGGCGGTCTCTTCCCAGTCCCCCTTAATGCAGGCCAGCTACAAGAATATCTCCTGCTAGAAGGAATGAGACAGCTTCCATGCCTCAGCAGTGCTATAGCCACAGCCCAGCAAATACTACTTGAAATTAATTCCGTATAGCAGCATTTGTCAGCTTTAAATAAAGCTCCAAATATCCTCAAGCTATTCGTATTTTACAGACCGATGCTTATGGGTTGTGTTAATTTAATGTACAGTGTAATAACAATCATTTAAGGAGATATGAATTAATTTCAAAAGCAGACATCTGGAAAGCAGGCTGTAATCTAATTCAAGAATGGGGAAAAGAAGGGTATTCTAGAAAAAGACAGTAGCTGAGGAAACCAGTGTTGGCAATACCAGTGGCAATGCACATACAGAACTAACAGTCTGTGGGTTTTTGTTATCAGTAGTGTCAAATTTCATGATATCCATTTCATTATATTCATTTCAGTGACATTTTGGAGGGTTTTGTGCAACATTTACAGAAAATCTCAGAGTTCTTCATGAATTCAGAACTACGTATTACTCTGAAGAGAGCGATCGCTCATTTTTCTTCACGGTACAATTTCTGTCAAGCTATGATGATCATTATTTAACAACTAAATTCTGAATTCAGCTTTTAGAGGGAAAACAATACCTAATTTGTTGTGCAAAGATACTCCTCGACATACAGTATGACCCCAGAAATACTTGTGAAATGAGAATGCACCGTTCTTCTGAATTTTCTGTCCCCCAATCAGTAAGAGACTGACCTTCCTTGAGACTTCTCTGGCTGTTCACCTCAAGGCATTCCTTCTCCTTCAGTGGCTTAACATCTCCAGCAGGTAAAATCTCAGAAAAGCCCTGTTGCTGCTTCTTGCAGCTATCGATCATGGTGAGAATCCTTTAGACTGGCAACATCCAGCACAGGAAAAAAATATTAATTTGTCACCAAGCAGTGCACTGCTGTCCCGAACACTGCTTCAGTTTCTTTCTCCTAAGAAATGAGCAGTCACATCTCTTTGCAGCCAAAAGCAGCCATCATCCTTCACTGTCTACGTTGACCTGTGAGACGCTCAGTCTGCTCTGGAGCCTGTAACTCACTCAAATGACAGCACAGAGCCCGTGAAGCCGAACTCTCAAATCCCGCCTCTTTTCCCAGAAAACCACTCCTCCCCCTTCTCCTTTAGCTCTGCTTGCTTCTTCTGCACAGTCGCGTTTCAGCATGCAGCTTGACGGTCAATCATCTGACAAAGAATGAGTCAAGCAGTTAAAAATAAATCCAGCAGTTGCTGAAGGAGCAGCATTTGCTGATACCTAAGACAAACTACCGCTGAGGACTCTCCCCTTTCCACCCCTTTCCCCCACAGCTCCTCACACTGCTGCAGGCAGCAGCAATACTTTGTCTTTGCCCAACTGGCACATTCATTACTTACTAATTTTCATCAGGCAACAGAGCTGCCTGTTGGCAATTGAAAAAAATGTCGAGGAACATTCCCAGCCCCAGCCCTGTTCCAGAGGCTTTAACTAGCAGAAATAAGTGAGAAGAGCATTTCATGGCTTCCACGCGTTTCCTTGCTGTACAGGAGAGCTTCTACTCCTTGTTGTCATTATCTGAGAAATGAGCGTTCTATTATTTTACTTTTTGCATTAATTACAATTCTTGTTATCCACAGCAGTTTCAGAAGCGTTTCCTCCCACAGCTCCTGATCTGCCATTCTCTCCAGCACTTTACATTCATCTTAGGTGAGTCATCAGCTTCAGTGTCAATCAGGAAGGTTTTGGGGAAAGGGATCCCCCTCAAATGATCTGCCACACGCCATAAGGCAAAAGAAGATTATTGCATATATTTTGTACTTCGAAGAAATAAGCTATATGCAATTTTAAGTAGCTGCTGCACATCGAAGTTAACTCCAGAAGGTGCACATTCCCTTCCCTTTGGCCTAAATCCCCTGTCGTTATAGAAACTTTCCACATCCCTCCCTGGTATTTTACATCCTTCACCCTGAAATTATAAAGGACATCTCCCCTCAGAAAAACTGTTTTGCTCTCACGGCATCGGGTAGGAACAAGTCTACATGCAACAACAGACGCCTGCTGTAGAATTTTAGAACTATGCAAGAGGGAAACATGGCTTTGCCCCGTAGGATCTCCCTGCACGCTGCCATCACTCCGTGCCACGCCGCGGCTCATCGCCTCAACCCGCCATCCCGTGGCCCCACCTGGCAGCCTCACCTCCGCCGGGCGCAGGAAGACACAACCTGCATTTATGGACACTTCTAAATTTCTGGGTTCTTCACACTGTCTTAGGATAACTCAGTTCTTCATCTGTGCAGTGACTTCTTCAAACAGTAAAACGGTGCTCTGAGTACACAGACTAAAATATTCATGTGAACAATACCTGTTATACTTCTCTGAAAAAATGTGTTAACTTGAGCTGTAACTGAGGGTTTCTCTGTTTTTACAAAATTCCAACTTAGAACAGATTTTTATCCTGCTTTGTTAGGTAGAAACAAAGCAAGACTTTTTTTTTTATACCAGTGCGTAAGTTCTTTGCTTTGCACACATACAACATTCATCAAACAGAGGTGAATTTAGGCTCATCTTAAATACAGCCTTAAGATTCTAACTGAGCTTTTTGTCTTCACATTCTTTTGGTCATAAAACATCAAATGTTTCCTTCTATTTTCTCCAAAAAGTCAAATGAAAAATTTGAGAATTTTTGTAATACTGCTAATATCTTACCCTACTGTGGTAACAAAAACCAAAATCCAAATTAGGGTCATCACTTCCCTCAGTTGCTCTTGCCATAAAAAAAAAGACAAGCTTTTTCAAGGTCATTTCAAATTTGTAAGTCTGCAGGTCCTACTTCTCTTCTCCCAGTGAATGCCAAACAGGAGACAACATACACTGGCACTGTTCACAGCGTAATTGAAAGACATGCTACCATTCTACCTTACCCATATATATATAACTAAAGAAATAAAAATGTAAAGGTATATAAGCAAAAAATATGCATTCAACTGCATACATACATACATACACACACAAATATATCATTTTAAATGACAATATTCAGGCATTCACCAGGAGAATGCCACCTGTGATTTGCAAAGGGCTCACATAGTAACTACTGTACATCACCAGTTTTCTTTGTACGACACTACTCGTAGCAGCTGTACCACACACTAACATTTCAAGAATAACACAGGCAGCTAGGATTTAATTCTAGCAATTCATAATAATTACACACTGGAAGTTAAAATTAACATTAATTTCTAGCTATGCATGTAGTTATCCACACGGAATTCCGGGAAAAAAGATGCCAGAGTCAGGCAGTTTGATCAGGAGATCTCTTTAAAAGTAAACATACTTTCCCTATCTTCTGTAATCAGTCAATTGCCAATCCCTGTATCAGAATTTCTTCATATATACCAGATGCCTTAAATTGAGTCCGTCAAAGGTCACGTCTCTCATCTTAATCTCTTCACAATAAGCAGATAATTAAAAAGAAAATCTATAAATCAAACTAAAATGACAGAACGTTTGTTTAGAAGTTTACCAAATGGAATGACCCTGCTGGAATTCTTTCATGTAGCCTGTGAAAATATATTCCATCTGAGGGGTCACAGTCCCTAGAGAGCTCTGAGTTTTGGCCTGTACGTCTTTTCACATGCTTTAACATTTGCAAATTGTTCCTTGTAGACACTGACTGATGCCCTGGGAATGTTAGGATTGTGGGAACTGGCACTACCAATGACAAAGACAGATTTACTGGGAAATCAGCACCTACTCATTTTGCTCTCTCCAAACAGATAACATTCAAATTTTATTAGGGTCACAGAGACATTTGTTTTTTCTATTGATGCCATTTCTGAAAACATACACACAAAAATAAACACAAACAGCTATGTTTTAATTACAACATTCTGTGTGTTCTTAGGAAGGATTATTTAGTAGAATATTCACACTGCATGCTCCACGGACTACTAAAACCTAAAGAAGAGCCCAATCACAGAACAGCTGACATCTTGAGACCCTTTAGTTCAAGGCCCGTGCTCCAGCAGGGCCAGCCGGAGCAGGCAGCTCAGCACTGTGCCCAGCAGGGCTTTCGGCACTGCCGCAGGATTCCACAAGCTCTGCAGACGGCCAGTCTTCACTTCTACCTTACGCTGTGCTTCTGTGTACTTCTACAGAACACACTGCACACACCACCTATATGCTGTACTAAACACATACACTCCTAGTGTGTACGTATACAACTTGTATATTACTCTATCTAGCTCTATCTTTTAGAATACACTTCATTTTCTGTTCCAGTTTTTTACTTCAATCCAAACTGTTTTCCATTTGCTGTTCTCAAGTCTTCCCACTACTCTCTTCCCTCTACTTTTCTCTCTCCCAGCTGTCTCAAGAAAATTCTTAATTCTATGGACAGTAACCTACTCAGTACTGTTAGGAGAGAAAAAAAATAGAGAGATCTCAAAAAAGTGGGAAAAATTGATGTGGATGAACACACAGAGAATATGTGAAATTTCACTTGATTCCTTAGTATAAAATTTGCAGCTCAAAATCGGTTAAGTGCACAGAGGATTAAGAATTTGTTTAGAAGTCATTAAGCTATGTCAAGAACATGTGTTACCAGTGCTACATAATGAAGGAGTGGAAGATAAGAGTAGGAAGTATAAGGTAAGTATAAGATAAGAAGTACACATGTGACTCTTCTAGATGTCAAAAAAAACATAAACCCTTGGTGCATTAAGTTCATCTAAACCATATAATTAAGTTAAGTGTGATGTAGACTTCATTCAGTTCTGAGTACCGCCTGCATCCCCTCTAGCAGTATTCAACATCCACCATTTGGATTTTTTTTTTTTGGAACTTCATAGTAATTACCGTGCCCCCAAGTCCTGTAGTGGTCCCACAGGAAGCTGTCATTCTCATCCAACCTTGAATACCTTAAAGCTTTGGTTCCTGAATATCATTGTTCTCATGCAGCACTGATTTATTTGGACTAACTTCTTCTAATATGGTTTTACATTCTTGTCTTCTACTTAAAAATGTTAATTGTCCCAGAACTCTTTTTTCTCTCTGAGTCTTACTTGCTCTGAGAAGCAGATGTCAATTAGCAACATGGGGCAAAACTGAGGAGCAATGCAGAGGACAGAGCATGTGCACACATGATCCAATGTGATTTACAACCGAAACAAATTGCTGAAGCAGCCCTACAGAGTGGTAAAGGACAGTCAATGGCCTGCATGGGATCCATCCAATTGCACACACATTTTATTACAGGAGTGTAACCAAGCTCTCACCTGTGGATGCACAACAGTAACTTACTGTCCATCAAAACCTAGTAGCCTCAATCATTAGCCTCAATTCCAATTACACTGTATTGTATTGTGCTATCTCACATTCTGGTATCATATTTGGTAAATTAGTTTTCCCCCTCAGCTCGTTGCCGCTGTTTTCTTTTTAGGTCCATCTCCCTGTCTTTTCCCTACCCTCCTTTCCCAGGGCACAAGTCCCTCCACCCTGGCATAGTCACGGAACCAGGTGAAATGGGCCAGAACTGCTGGCACTGTAAAATGCAGAAGCAAGGAACTTCTCCCTCTATGGATACCTTCAAACAACTAGGACTGCATGGCTTGTGACCTTGGTGAGATCCTCCATCTCTAACAGTTAAAATGGCTTGCTTACCAGTGCTGGAAAATAATGCAGCATGCAGAAAGCTCTGCTCTTGCAGTACTGTTTTTTTTTGATGGTATCTGCGTGTGCAATCCATTCCCACCCTCTGGCTCTGAAATAGCAGGTTGGAAGGCAGCACATAGCATCATCCCCATCCACCCTCCTGCTGTCAGCAGCAGACAGCCTGTCCTTCCCTCTCTTTGCCACCTCCTGGCTCTCAGACACAGGCTTGTGAAAGTGCGGTACAGTGTGTGAGCAGCATATTGTTCTGACAAGTACTTGAGCTGTGCCATGATGCCTACTACTTTTGTCATTCTTCCTCCACGGCCATCCAGCTAAACAACACCTAGTCATCAACCTTCTTCCTCTCGCTCCCAAACAAGAGACTCATCTGTGTCACATTTTTCCTCCCCCAGCCACCATCCTGCCTAAGCATACAGCAGCTTGACACAGAGAAGCTTTCCAGATTCAA